TGGCACAACCACAGAAAACAGTAGCACAACCACAGAAAACAACACTGCACAGCAATGGAGTGATAAAACCAGCTAATAATACAAAAACAAACCATGTGGTAACAGTAAATGGTACATCTGAAAAAGACCAAAAAACGTCGTCCAAGAATTCAAGCAAGGATGAACTTTTGGTCGAAAATGTCGAGGAAGTGACAGGCAGCAATGTAATTCCAAAGCCATCAAGGAAAAAGAAAACACAAATTATTCCGAATTCCGAAATGTTTAAAACAATAGACAGTCATGTTGCAAGGGTAAAAATTCAAGTATTTTACTTCATTATTTTCACAAATATTAAAAATGGACACCGATACATTTCGAAATTATAAATTTTGGGTAGGAAGTGTTCACATATTAAATGACGAATACTCTAAAATAAATTCCACCGGCAAGTGGTGGCGTCTCCATATGAGTGAAAAATTCCCGAAAGGGACGTTAAACAATAAACAATCAATCAATCTTAAAAGAAATTAGATTTTAAACTTTGTAGACATGCTTAAATTTCAGACACCAGCCTCTGTGTGTAATTCCATCGCAACTCTGGCAGAGTATCTCATCAAGCCAGCAAACACACCTCTGGAAAGAGCGAGAGCTATCCACAAATGGGTTACAACTAATATAATGTAAGCAGCTCTTCATGTTTCAGTAAAGCTACGCTTAGTAACTTCTCATCACATATCTTTACCTATGTCAGGTGTTAACGGAAACATTTTTTTCTTAGTTTTTTTTTTAAAATCAGTACCTTATCTACATGGCATTTGCGGTTTGCAGGAAAGAAACAATTACCATTGAAAAACGGAAAGAAAATATAAAAGTTATAATATTTTTTCTTTAATTTTTTAAAAGGTATGATATAGATGGATACATGGGAAGAAGTGATAAAAAGTCATGTGATTCTGGGGATGTTTTGAAGAACCGCTCTAGCGTATGTGCCGGATATAGCAATCTCTTCGAATCCCTGTGTCGGTAGGTCCAGATGATATCAATTTGTATTTTCAGATTTCTACTGATATAGAGTCATTAAAAGTTAAATAATGAAGTTTTTTATAATTAATTTCTGGAATGAAATTTGACATGTCTCTTTTACTACCGACATGTGTAGTTATTCATTACAAACACCATTAACAAGACTTCTTTACAACTCGTTAGGAAAGAATAATTAAGTTTTTAATGAGAAATAAAGCAGGCTCTTTTTTTCCAGATGTGCCCATATACCTGTTATGGTAATCTCTGGCTATGGCAAAGGATTCGGTCATAATGACAAGGAGGATGTGGATATCTCTAATCTGAGCACCAACCACGCTTGGAATGCCATATTTCTTGAAGGAGAATGGCGGCTACTTGATTGTACGTGGGACGCAGGTTACGTTGACGGCAAGTCATTTCATTGGTACAAACGAGATTATTACTTCCTTATGGATCCAGAATACTTCATCAGCTCACATCTGCCTTTCCTAAACAAAGATCTTAAAGCCAGTGAACCATGGCAGCTACTGGATAAACCTGTAGATCCAAAAACATTTTTCAAATCATTGAAACTGGAGGACGGTTCGGTGAATTATGGGATATTTCCTCTGAGTCATAAAGAAACTGTAGTTCCTGTTCATGGAGAAACGTATTTAGAAATTCAGAAGTGTGTTCCTGGCGACATTGTAGATACTTTGATATCATTTACAGACGATGAAACTAAGAAGGAATACCAGCAATGTGTGGCTACCGAAAAATCCGGAAATAACGTTATTAAATTCCACGTCCGACCACCCAAACCTGGCATTTTCAAACTGAACATGTTTGTAAATGCACCTGGAGAAGAGAAAAAATGGCCACAACTTTTTAAATACGTCATTCACTGCACGAAAACCCTGCAAAATTTGGTATTATTTCCTAACCACCGTCAATTATATGGTCCAAGGCATGGCTACAAAGAACTGGGATTCGACAAAGGTATAGAGGAGAAATCAATTTACTCAACCAACTCAGGAGAACTAGAGATTGTCCTTCCAACCTTGAGACAAATGTCTGTATTATGTACGCTGGAGAGTCAAGACTCGTCTAAAATACAGAACGCTGTATTTCAACAATCAACTGCAAACTCGGTGTCCTTATCCACCAGACTTCCTACAGCAGGAAATTATAAGCTTATTGTCTTTGCACCAAAAGAAAAGGAACATGTGGTAGCTGTCACCTATATGATTCAATGCACCAATGTTCTCAATGAATTCAAGCCGTATCCTGTTGTATATGGAGCTGCCTCCTCAAAATATCAAATCATTCTTCACGAACCAAAAGTCAAAGGAGTACCCGCCAATACCCCTGTTGTTTTCAAATTTTCGTCTCCCGTTCTAAAATCTGTACAAATTGGAACAAAGGTTTTCTTGAAAGAGGACGATAGTGACGTTTGGGAGGTTACTTTTGACACCCCCGACTCTGGGGTTCAGGTGAATCTGTTTGGAGGAGCTGAAGAACAAGGAAAAAGGGATGCACTTTTCGGATTTCTAACAGCGTAGTATTGCTAGTCTTAAATAAAACTCTCAACGCAATTGTTATTTAACTGATGATGATTGACTTCAGTAAAATAATTTAACTGATAAGGACTTCACTAAAACCCCGTTGTACATTGATTCTGAGCATGTAATAACATAGTTGTATTTTCTCTGTACATGTACTAGAAGCCATTTACCTAATTATGTACAAGTGTTAATACATACTACTGCGTCTCATTTTCATAAAAAAAACATAGGTAATCAGAGATTACAGAGCTCACCTCAACGAATGTTGTCTTTAAGTAAGGCAAAGTCACACAATTAACCAACAAAAAGTATACATTCCAAAAATGAAAATATTTTTAAAAGCAATTTTGATCTGATACTTTGAGATAGACCTACATAAAAAATTTAAACTACTTCTTCTTCATGAAAATGTAATGAAAATCCAGCATCTGAAGCAAATTTGAGAGTTTTCATCTCTTGATGCAGCATTTGTGCAAGTTTGGTTTATACAATGTTATATAAGCCTTATAGTTTTTGGTAATAGACCTGCAACCATAACTTTTACCTTGTCTATTATCTGAAAAATGTATGTCCAATTCAGCATCCGAAGCAAGTCCATTAGTGTGCATCCTTAGATGTATCATCCATGCAAGTTTGCTCATTACAGGGCTCATAGTTTATTGGAAATGAAACATGCATTAAAACTAACATTTTCACTCATCCACAAAAAGTAGGTCAGATTCAGCATCCGAAGCAAGCCTGGAAGTATGCATCCTTAGATGTATCATCTATGCAAGATTGGTCATTAAAGAACTCATAGTTCCTTGGAAATGAAACCTGCACCAAAAACTTTTAACTATTCACTCAACCGGAAAATGTAGGTCAGATTCAGCATCCGAAGCAAGCCTGGTAGTGTGCATCCTTAGATGTATCATCCATGCAAGTTTGGTCAACATAGGGCTTAAAGTTACTTGCAAATGAAACCTGCACCAAAAACATTAACCTGTTCGCTCAACTGGAAAATGTAGGTCAGATTCAGCATCCGAAGCAAGCCCGGTAGTATGCATCCTTAGATGTATCATTCATGCAAGTTTGGTCAACATAGGGCTTATAGTTACTTTGAAATGAAACCTGCACCAAAAACTTTAACCTGTTCACTCAACTGGAAAATGTAGGTCAGATTCAGCATCCGAAGCAAGCCCGGTAGTATGCATCCTTAGATGTATCATCCATGCAATTTGGTCAACATAGGGCTTTTAGTTACTTGGAAATGAAACCTGCACCAAAAACTTTAACCTGTTCACTCAACTGGAAAATGTAGGTCAGATTCAGCATCCGAAGCAAGCCCGGTAGTATGCATCCTTAGATGTATCATCCATGCAAGTTTGGTCAACATAGGGCTTATAGTTACTTGGAAATGAAACCTACACCAAAAACTTTAACCTGTTCACTCAACCGGAAAATGTAGGTCAAATTCAGCATCCGAAGCAAGCCCGGTAGTATGCATCCTTAGATGTATCATCCATGCAGGTTTGGTCAACATAGGGCTTATAGTTACTTGGAAATGAAACCTACACCAAAAACTTTAACCTGTTCACTCAACCGGAAAATGTAGGTCAAATTCAGCATCCGAAGCAAGCCCGGTAGTATGCATCCTTAGATGTATCATCCATGCAGGTTTGGTCAACATAGGGCTTATAGTTACTTGGAAATGAAACCTACACCAAAAACTTTAACCTGTTCACTCAACCGGAAAATGTAGGTCAGATTCAGCATCCGAAGTAAGCCTGGTAGTATGCATCCTTAGATGTATCATCCATGCAAGTTTGGTCAACATAGGGCTTATAGTTACTTGGAAATGAAACCTACACCAAAAACTTTAACCTGTTCACTCAACCGGAAAATGCAGGTCAGATTCAGCATCCGAAGCAAGCCCGGCAGTATGCATCCTTAGATGTATCATCCATGCAAGTTTGGTCAACATAGGGCTTATAGTTACTTGGAAATGAAACCCACACCAAAAACTGCACCAAAAATGTTAACCTGCTCCAAAAACATTAACCTGGTAATTCCTTTGCTGAAATTGCAGCATCTGAAACTTTGTCTGGTACAATAAAACACACTAAAACCATCTTCCATGCATATCTAATCAGTATAGGACATAGAAGTAATTAAAAAGAAAACTGCTCCAAAAAACTTAACCTGGGACGCCGACGCCGAGGGTATCACATAAGCTCCCCCCAACTTCGTTGAGGTGAGCTAAAAATCAGTACTATCTGTATCAGCATTTAGCTTACATTAATATTTATCATTTCAATAAGAAGTTACTTGAAGTGCAATTGATAAATAACACACTTTGATACTTACTGTGGATTACTTATAACTTCACTTATAACAAAGCTTCAGTTGAGCTCTTCCCATCATTTGTCTGATATTGTTCTTTCTTCAGCATTATTTTAGCAAAATCCTTGAGCAGTTTCAAAGAAGATGATTGAGATTTTCTTTTTATGTTGATATTCAAAAAGTATACATTCAGGTGTGTTTAATTCCCGAGGGAAAAACCCTTTTACATATAATGTACATTCAAAATCTCTGAAAATTAAGTAGCAAGAGAATAAAATCCACTAAAAAAACTAGAAAACATTAGATAAACCTATATTTAACATACTCTTTGGGTATAAATTATATATTGATTGCACACGGGCGAGAGGATTGCTATTACAGGATTTACGAAGAATTAAAAAGGGATCACATATATAAGAACATCTGAAAGATTTAATTGCTACGTGAAATCTAATGCACATCTAAGTATCACATTAAAGTAGGAGATAAGATTCAGTGGGATTGGGTTTGGACACAATAACAGTCAAGTTTTACAAAGTACTTGAGCAGAGAAATTGGCTATAATAGATGATTTTCTTCAGAGCACTAGTGCTACAATTAGTTACACTGAAATACAAGAATATATGCACTACATGTAGTACCCACAGGTTTTTCAAGACCATGTGCTTAGGAACAATAGTGGCAGATGAAAAGAAACAATAAGATTTTTTTACATTTGAGAACATGACCCATAGATCTTTCATCAGAATATAGATGCAATAAATTCGAGTCGGTTTTAACGGTGATATCTCATGTTGTTCTAATCTTCACCGAATTCATCTTCTTCATCCGGGTCATCGTCTGGATCCTCGTCGTCTGCGCTGTGAGGCGTAGGTATAGTGAGATCAATCATTCTGTGTCCTATAAAGAGAAATCCGTAAAATAGAAGTAATGTCATTTAAAATAAATACATCTTCTTTTTGGCAATTATGACCACATCTACTTAATTATGAAAACTGATGTTTACGAGCCTTTTGAGGACTTTCAAAAATACCTTAATTATTATTTTTTTTATATATATTTACTCACCAGTTCCTTTGTATAATTCTCGGCATCGTGCAATGTCTACATCACAACCCAATCCTTTTAATGATAAATAGTTTACATTCACCGGTGAGAATCTGAGAGTGTAAAGCGACCTGAGATCACCACAGAAATCCACCAAAATATTCTCCTGAAAGAGAAATCTTGTTACCAGAGCACCATTCCAAATAAGGACAAAATAGTAACCTAAAACAAAAGCTTTGCTTGTATCAAATATACGGATTTAACGAACAGTATTTACGCTCAAAAATCCATTCAAACAATTATCAATGAGGAGCAAAGCAAACATGGACCCGTAAAACATGAGAGGTGGAATCAGCTGTCATGGAGGAGCGAGCATCCTCTGCCGACCGGCCACACCCACCCTGTGCTCGGAAATCGGAAGATAACGGGAAAACTGTTGACAATTCGGTGTGTAAATAATGACCTAAAATATTGTTTCAGAGGTCTGTGTTTGTTTTGCTCGTGATTTGTATTGTTTAAATTGACTTCGACCTTGGATACCGTTTGTTGTCTCCAAATATTTCACTTGTCATTTTTAGACTTAATCTCCCAACAATCTATTGGGATTCCCATGGGCACAAATTGTTCCCTGTTATAAAAAGACATATTCTTGAATTCCTATGAAGCAGACAATATTTAAAATAAAACATACCGTTTCCTTCAACTTGACATTTAGATACTAGTATAACGACAACGTATAATCGTTCAACAATAATAATTTTCATACATATGTCGACATAAAATATCTCACAGTGAACACCAAAAATTAGTCTGACACATCTGTATCACATTTAGATGTGTGTTATTTTAATTGTAACTCAACATTATTTTTACAATAAACGTATTACCTTCTCTTTTTCTAGTGTCAACTTTCCTTCCTTATGTACAGTAATTAGATAGCCCAATAGCCAACATAGCAGGATTTTGTCTCTCATTAATTCATTTGTTTCGTGATTTAAGAGCACGCTCTACGTACAAACGGTTTCTAAAACGAAGCAAGCTAGTGACTGAAATATTGACGTAGTCAAGTAAATCACTTGGTGTATTCAAAATTAAGCGAAATCACTTGGCATTCAGTTATTGGCGTATTCCTGAATTAGCGCTACACACTTCCGCGCTGTATATTGTATTTATAAATTGCTTTTAGCGGTATTCATAGATTAGCGTACCGTTGTCCGCACCCAAGCGCTAAAATATTAAGCCCACTTTTTAAAGTACATGTACATCATCTTACGCTTTAAACAGAGACAAGGTGTAATGTACCAACACTGGGGCATGTATTGGCAAAGAGATCTTTATGCATGTGTTCTATTTGACATAACAATGAACATGACTCCAAAGAATTATAATTATGGATAATGATGTTTTGTGCCTTTGTCTTTAGAAAAATAATACGCAAAGAGCTAAGAATAAACAATTGTTTTATAATTATGTTTATGAAAGCAAAGTGAGGGGTTCCTTTAATTGCTGGCAAGAGAAAGATATCCCTTTGATCAATGAGACTAATATAAGTTCCAGGAATAGGCACAAATTTGCAGCCTCCCACTGGCAAGTGGTGGCGCCTCCACATCAATGAAAAATTATAAGAGGGATGTTTTAAAACAACACACAAACAAACTTACGTTTCCATCTAGTTTAAGAGATGACACACACTCCATGGTTTTGACATTCCAGACCCGGATGGCATTCTCTTCCATCAGCCTGCTGTGTGTAATGAAATATTTTGCTCCTTTCCTCAGAGGCGGTATAGTCACAGGAACAGCATGTCCACTCAACCGATGCAAAATGGTACCTAAAAGAAAATAAAAGTAATATTACCTGATAGAACTACCAGTATACAATGTACTTCTGTCAAAAAAAGCTATCATTAAATCTCCAACCTCAAGATTTTACATTCTTCCCAAGCGTTATAAGTCAATAAACCAGAACAGGTCTTTGATGAGAATTTAACTCTATTATGTACAAATATTGGTTGATTGATTGTATGTTGTTCTTCGTTCCAATCGAGAATTCTTCACCATATTCCGGTCAAGGACTTTAAATTTAGACCTTTACTCGGCACTGAGGGTTCTTTACCATCCCAACATTTACCGTGACATACACCGTATCCAACGGGTAACGCGGGGGAGTCGCTAAAAAGTATGGGGGAGTCGTTTTTAACGTATGGGGGAGTCCATTTTCACCGCTTCGGAGTCAGAAGTGATGTGGGTCACGTCTTTTTTCGGTATATGTAAGATGTATTTACAAAAAAAACAACTAACCCACGGAAGGTAGCAATAGTTAAGCTTTCTGTTGGTCATTTGTCCGGCAAGCAGATACGTCTAATTTTCTCAAACACTTCGAAACTATTCGAGAGATTTCATATTTACGTTGACCGAGTGGTTAAAACATGCATAGTTTGCACAATCTACGACTTGTGTAGGGATTATAACAGTTAAAACAGCAAAAGCAAAGATTAATCTTTCAAATGCAACAATTGAAATTTGGCTAGACTTTATAAAAATTGATAATTAACACATTTTCTCTTCAGACAGTAATAGTTACGTAGGGGGGAGTCGTTTCTGGAAAAACACAACGCATAGGGGAGTCGCACAATTGAATTGTATTATTATTTTAAATTTCGACTTTTCTTTTGCTAAATGCTTCCATACATAATTATTTTGTTAACTTTATAATGCATTATGAATGAAGATCAATATATTAAGCAATATGTACATGTAAAAATAAAAACATGTATTAATCGTTTCTTATTGTATATACCAGTACTTCATATACTACATGTACATTTTATATTGTTTCTGCACGGATGAGCAGTGGCATATTCCAAAATTTTCTGCATTTTAAATTAAATACCGTTAGGCGCAGTTACGCTTTGGGGTACCCATCTATTATCCGCAACTCCTCTTATACCACTGAGTGATATTTAATGAAACTTTCACAGAAACTTATTACATATTGCCATTGTGCACTGTGGCGGATTTAAGGGGGGCGCACCCGGCGTGCGCCCCCTAAAATTGTCAAAGTTAGCGTAAATCATAGTTTAGTCTAGAAAATTTAAAAATTGTCTACTCGGTATACCTCATTTTTACCCTACGAAATGTCTAGAATCCAGGAGCTTCCGGGGGCTTCGACCCCTGGGTCTCCAGGCCCTCGCCTACTTTATGCCCCCCCCCCCCCTTAATTCAATTCCTGTATCCGCCCCTGGTGCACCTTCTATTTTACTTTTTGATCCGACACATATTTTGGGTTTCCCGACCACGGCAAAACATGGACTTTGCCATTATGGCATGGGAGGCGGGTAGTGAGCTAATTGCTCACAGTACCTCTAGTTTTCTTGGTGAATTTTTATAGCTCTTATTAAAATTAGAACTTCAGACCCTGCCCTACCCATAATAACAATTCTGAAATACATTGCACGAAACAGGCACGTATGAAAGGTCTTCCAACGTTTTCCTGCAGAATAGTTAAATCATAGTTATATTTGCAAATGTGTTAATAAAATTTGGTTGAAAAACTCTGTTGTAATATGATTCTTCTTCCAACCTTTTTTTTTTGCTTGTCAAATTTTTTAAAATAAGTTGTTTATAATTCTTTTTTTCATACTTATGAAAAGTTGTTATTGTAAAAAAAAATATAACAAAAAAAGTAAAGCCTATGTACTGTTTTCCTGAGCAGTCAAATAAATCGCTGCTTGACAGTGGAGTGAGATGTTGGACCTGTCGATGAGCTATGGCACCGCTTACTTCACAGTTTCACGAGTGTGGGCGGGGTCAAAGTCATATCTTTACGGAATTGACCAAGTTTAAACTGCAGTGCGCGTGAAAAAAAAAATCATCATGATAAAATCATAATAAACAATATAACGATTCATTTATTGATTGTTCTCGGACAAAAATGCCTAACAACCTCGGGCAAACAGTTTGGTTCTTCGGTCCGAAAAAAAAAACGCATGTTGCCCTCGAACCATGTCTATGAATGTATACATGTACAATAAAGCGCATTGAAGTGGTAAAATTTTCCGTTCGAATGGAACGTTTTGAGCTATATTTAGAACATTTATTGTCATCTTATGACAAGCCCATTTCTTTAGAAATGGCTAAAACAGCCAATTTGTTTATTCGAATACCTGTAGAACAGGTTTTCCATAAATATAATAGCCAATCAAATTGCGGTCTAAATAAACACCGAGTAAACTCCTGCTCGACCGAAACATGTGTTTTGGTTACTTCAATAGACATGATAAGTTAAAAAATATGTTCATATTCGTTGCAATTTGAGTTTTACAGAAGCGGGGTCTCTAATTCTTTTTTCTAATTTTTTTAAAGCTCGATTTCAGTGTAACTCATGTTGTTTGTCGCGAAGAGTAGGGTGTCCTAAAACATCACGACGAATATTTCTTTCTCGTTTCTAAAATATGGGCGTGTCATTATGTTATAACTGACTTTCAAAACATGACTCAGAACGTTTCATTCAAAAGGAAAATTATACCACTTCAATGCGCTTCATTCACAGGATGAAAAGCCAGGTTTCACAAATTTGGAAACCCGATGGAAACATATGGGAATTGTGACATCAGTAGTTTCCATATAGTTTCCATTTTATGGAAACCACATAGGGGTTTCCACATAGATTCCCGACATGGAAACAATCAACCTGTGGTTTCCCGTAAGTTTCCCAAGATAGGAAACCATGGAAACATACCCGGTGGTTTCCACATAGATTCCCGACATGGAAACAATCAACCTGTGGTTTCCCGTAAGTTTCCCAAGATAGGAAACCATGGAAACATGCCCCGGTGGTTTCCATGTAGATTCCCGATATGGAAACAACCAACCTGTGGTTTCCCGTAAGTTTCCCAAGATAGGAAACCATGTAAACATGCCTCAGTGGTTTCCATACAGATTCCCGACATGGAAGCCACCAATGTGTAGTTTTCCCCATGTTTCCCAGGCAGGGAAACTTTGAAAGTATATCTCAATACTAACCCACCTACCATTTATTTTACAAAAAGTTAAATATTTAATTATGTTACCATATTTTTACCAGTTATAGAATTATTTCAAAAGTGTTTACATGCTGTATCAAAATAATCAACTTCAAACAGTTAAAATAACTAGATGTGTATTTCTGTGTGATTAATTTAATATTTCAGCACCGTGAACGCAATTCAATTTTAATTTAATTTTATTTAACTGAATTTAATTTAATTTAATTTAATTTTGAATTTGATTTATCACATAAGTTTTGGTAAACTCGTATAGAATGCGTGAAGTGGAATAGAAAAAAGTAAGTGCATGCAGTTATGTAGAAATCAATCATTTCCGATCCCACTTTCTTGAAGCTGTCTATGATGAATGTTCCTTTGAAAAAATGGAAGAGCTAGGGAAGGGTACATTTAATGAAATTATTTACAGAAAAGGTTTACTAAAAAGATCGATTAAAAAGTAAGTAAAGAAATATGTCAAGTTACGATTACTGATTAAGGACAGGTGAGACGTTCCTCAATAAAATAATTAAATTTTTTTCCAATATTTTGCAATTGACACTGAAGAATTATTTTTACATAATTACATGTATTCACAAGACATCAAGGTACATTACCAGGCATTTCATGCATTTGTGTTAGATACTAGAGTTTGGCATTTCTTATATACCGGGGTAATCCGTCAGGAAAAAAAAATTCTTCAGTTGGTTTGTCAAAATTACATTTTTAGTGTTTCAAGTTTTTAAATACAAGTTTAGAAAGTGATAAAGATTTTGTTTTAATGTGAATTAATATATTAATATAAACTGGTCAGATAAGAATTATTTATCGAATTGGCTGGGGGCTGAGTATTATCATACTAGTATTTTACTATTAATATTGAATTTTTTTTTTTAATTTATTAAATTTTTATTTTTATTTTTGGGGGTGGGTGGGTTGCTTTTCATTTTTTCCTTGAGAAGCCCCCCCCCCCCCCGAAAAAAAACGCTTTTGAAAAAGTCACTATGGTCGGCCTGTCCTCACGTGCCATTTCAGGTGGAGACACGTGCCGCGAAGACACTTGTCACTGTGTATTTTTTGTATATTCTATGTGAATTGAGACGGTTTTGTACCTAAAGGAACAATGGGCTGTTGTCGAGCATGTACACACACAGTCTCCGACCGAAAATTCTTTTAAATTAAGATGATGATTCGTGTTTCTTTTATCTTTTAAAAAATTGTATATTCCATAAATAAAGTTATACAAGAGAACATATTTATAAAATAACCTACATTTAAGAAGTTCAATGAAAGAACAAACTATTTAGAATTTTTATAATTTCAATTTTCATTACTGATTAAAATAAAACTATCCTCTTTAGAAATTAAATAATTTTTTAATTTACTTAATGACCCTTATGAATGGACTTAAATGTGAAAGACTGTTCCATTGTTTATCTAAGATATATGAATTTATTTAATATTTTGATATCATTGAAAAATTCAGTTACAGTTTTTGTACATCAAATGAATTATTAAACATATAAAATGGTAATGCTTTTTTCTTTCACATGTAATAATTTTTTTTGATAGATTTTTAAAAAAAATACGCATTATTTCACATTGCTTCCTTTAGAAAAGTTAGGGAATCTTGAAGTTTCCCAGTAATTTCCACCAGGAATGGGACTCCAGATAATTCCACCAAGTTTCCGCCACACAGAAAGTGCTACACAAGTTCCATATAGTTTCCTGAGTCAAGGAAACTTCAGAAATCATAAGGTTTCATGAGCTTCCATGTAGTTTCCCATAAAAGAAAACCTTAAGATTCCATCAAGTTTCCATTCCACGGAAACCACTACGCTCCGATTCCATATGGTTTCCTGAGTCAAGGAAACTTTACGAATCGTGAGGTTTCCCGAGCTTCCATGTAGTTTCCCGTAAAAGGAAACCTAAAGATTCCACCAAGTTTCCATTCCACGGAAACCCCCTACGCTCCGATTCCATCAAGTTTCCTGATTCTGGAAACCAGTGGAATCTTCAGGTTTCCCATTACGGGAAACTACATGGATGTTCGGGAAACTTCAGGTTTACAGAGGTTTCCGTGGTTCGGGATACCTTATGGAATCGGAGCGTAGGGGGTTTCCGTGTCACGGAAACTTGGCGGAATAACCTAGCATCCGCTACGGAAACCACTGAGAAACATGATGTAAACTTGAGGTTTCCATGTAGTTTCCATAAAGTTTCCCATGATGGGAAACCACTTTTTTCACCCAGTGATTGTAATACTGACTGTGTAAACCCCAGATAATCGCAAATATTCTCATTTAAGACACATCGTTTGTGCCTGAAGATGTGTTATTTTATATGATAAATGAAAAATAAAAATAAAGTATTTATATGTCGATAAAATTGAAAGCATATACCAGTTTAAAAATTTTCTAACCCCCCCCCCCCACCCCCCACACCTCCAAAAAAAAAAAGAAAAAAAAAAGAAGTCAAGAGGCGGGAATGATGCACCAGATATTTCCACTTTTCCAATAAATAAAATGGTTGATATTAATTTGAAGAAATTTTTCCATATTATAAATCTGGATTTTCTTTTTTATGGAGAGACTGTCATTGTTGAAAGTGAGGGTTCGTGATCTTTTTTTAATTTTTGTGATGTGTAAGAAAATTACATACTGAGCTAGGAAAGGGTCTTGTCCCCAAGCACATGTGCTGCTCCGAAGATATATAATCCAATTGACATGTATTCTTGAACTAAAAACAACACCAGATTATGTATGCATTTCACTTTATTTTGCGACTCCCCTATGCGTTGTGTTTTTTTTCAGAAAGGACTCCCCCCTACGTAACCAATACTGTCCGAAGAGAAAATGTCTTAATTATTATTTTTTATAAAGTCTAGCAAAGTTTGAATTGTTGCATTTGAAGGATTAACTTTTGCTTTTGCTGTTTTAACTGTTATAATCCCTACACAAGTCGTAGATTGTGCAAACTATGCATGTTTTAACCACTCGGTCGAATAGTTTCGAAGTGTTTGAGAAAATTAGACGTATCTAGATCTGCTAGCCGGACAAATGACCAACAGAAAGCTTAACTATTGCTACCTTCCGTGGGTTAGTTGTTTTTTGTAAATACATCTTTCATATACCGAAAAAAGACGTGACCTACATCACTTCTGACTTCGAAGCGGTGAAAATCGACTCCCCCATACGTTAACAAGAATAGATATGGGTTACCCCATATCCAAAGATATTCGACTTTTAGATTTAATATGTTTAACAGTGTTTATTGACATTTATAAAAATAAAACTGCACTGTCTAGTTATAGAACTTGTGTAAATTCCGTCAGTCCGTAGCATTACGGTCACCCAGTCTCCTAACCATGCTAACAAACAGTACACATACCTATGTCTGCAAGACCAGTTAGCCTTGGTCTATACACACGTGCGATGGAGTTGTCAAACGGACTCCCGCAAACAGAGAAGTTACGATGGCAGACAGAACTTTTTTTCATAATTAGATCACATGAATACAAATTTTGATTCATAAAAATTAAACGACTGTCAGTTTAGAAATCCCCGGCCAGTTCGGGTTTTGTTACACATTTTACAGGTACTCTCCCGATGTGTAGTTTGTCTGCACACGTGCAGGAATCTGCTCAGGATTGAAAATTCCGTCATTTAATATACTACACACACAGAATGATTATTTTTTTTCTCTTAGATGAAACTATATGATAATTAACGAACAATTAACATGATTTTACTACAGTTGTTGATATTAGTATAATCAATTCATCAGTGAAAAAATATCAACCGAAGAATGACCTATATATTCTCTGTTATCAAACATGTTAAAAAAGCTGAGGAGGGAGCGAGCGTAGGAATATTAACATTTTTTATTTGCATTTAGGGGGGAAAGTGATCTTTGGAGGAAAAATTAACATTAATTTTGGTTTCTTTTACGTATGACATACACAACATTATTCTTATCATGAACAATTATGTTGTATCTACTTATTAATGATGGAACTATTTTCGTCGGAACAATTTGTGTGAGTCGCCGCTGACTACAGTAATATATCTTGCACTAATAGTATGCACTGATCGAATATATTAAAAACGACTCCCCCATACTTTTTAGCGACTCCCCCGCGTTACCCGTTGGATACGGTGACATAGGGCTTCGGTTTTTAAGGCCTCATCTAAAGGACCCACAAAATTCACTTCAAAGTGCCGAGCGTTCAGCGAATGAACAGTTGCTACATTTTTAACGACTTATGTCAGTCGCAGCCTTGATTCAAACACGCAATCTTCCGATCATGGATCAAGTGTTCTATGTACAAATATCAAATAAATGTGTCTAATTATAATCTACTTGACAAGTGTAATATGTCTATAAAAACAAAAGTAAAGAGTGGTAGCATTTAGGAAGAATTCCAAGTAATTCTATTTTTTATTTTGTGTGTTTTGTTTTTATGTTTTGTTGTACGTTGCTTAACGTCCCTCTCGAGAATTTTTCACTCATGTGGAGACGCCGCCATTTGCCGATGGAGAGCTGCAAATTTTTGTTGTATACTTGGCACTTCCAGCCATTGAGTGATGGTGAGAAATTTGTCGAAACCAAAAACTGACACGTTACTATGGATAGAACCTTAGAGTATTATAAATATAAACACAAAAACTTTAACGTGGGACACCCATGGCAAGACTGGCACCGAATTTATTACATAAGCTTCCCCAACTTCATACATTCAAAGCATAAAAAATAGGTTACCTTTTTCTGCATCCCATATTCTGATAACATTATCGAGGTATGACGTTATAAATCCCCAATCCTCTATGCTCCTGACATTTGGAATGGCAAACTTGAAAGCCCGTAATGCATGCATCGAAGACTGTGGATAGCCGTTATCTCTGAGTCTAACTCCAACTGCAAACAAGATCAAAATGTGTGTATCAGCAGGTTATACTTCTCTGAGACATGAAATTGCAAAGTCACAACTTAATAGAAGTAGGACATCATAAACAAGAGGCCCATGGGCCACATTGCTCATCTGAGCAATGTGGCTAGGAAAAAAGCACAAATTGGTTTATTATTGAAAAGTTGAAACCCAATAGTGGTCCCAAACAATCCTTAAAAGGAAGAGGGTATGATTTGAACAAACTTGAATCTACACTAACTAAGGATACTTGCATATTTCTTTGACTACGTAGTATACCAGTGGCTTTCTTGCCCTTTACATCTGAACTTACATTGTGTCCCCGCCTTCCAGAAAAGAAGATTTTAAAAGAATTTTCAAATATATTTTTATGTGAAACGTTGACCGGCCATTGTGGCCCCGCCCTACACCCAGGGGTCATGATTTGAACAAAATTGAATCTACACTACCTGAAGATGCTTCCATAAAAATATGATCATTCATGCCTTTGCTATTCCAGAAAAGAAGATTTTTAAAGAATTTTCAAATATATTTCTATGTAAAACTTTGATCGGCCTACACCCAGGGGTAATGATTTAAACAAACCTGAATCTACACTACCTGAAGATGCTTCCATGAAGAAGGATATGGAAATAACGAACAGTATTCAATCTCAACGTCCATTAAACAAATATACAAAATAAGAGCAGAGCAAACACGGACCTCCGAAACATCAGAGGTGGGATCAGGTGCCATGGAGGAGTGAGCATCCCCTGCCGACCGGTCACACCCGCCGTGTGCTCGTTGTCATAATCAGGAAATAACGGAAAAAAATCCGTGGTCAATTCAGTGTATAAATAATGGACTAACAATTGGTATGAAAAACGTCAGTCAGCATTTCATTCAATGATAAATTGTATTTGCTGACAAGGTCATTGTATCGACCATAGAATTTACGAAATGATGACTTTAAACGAGACTGTTGATATTCTTGTTTCATCAACTTGCTTGTCAATAATTTACCTCGTTTAAGAAATTGTTCATACGTAGAGCATGCTCTAGCGTATCGAATCAACTGAGATATAAATACTCCGTATGCAGGTGATGACGGTATATTGCTGCATAAGTACGGGAAGTTGACGATAGAAAAGTTAAAGTCATCACGTTTATCATATAGCTTGGTTGTTAGATTACCATTTGTGTCTTTTTCAAGTAAAATATCCAAGTATGAAGCAGAAGTGTCGGACTCTGTGGTATCTTTTATCTCAAGCTCACCAGGATAAATCGTGTCGACGTAGGAATGGAAATTATCATTATTAATTGACAATACGTCGTCGATATATCTAAATGTCGAGTTGAAGGCCACAGCAAGTGTTTTTTTCTTTTCACGCAAAAGATTTTGCATAAATTCTGCTTCATATGAATATAAAAATAAGTCTGCTAATATGATCATTTATGCCTTTGCTAATTCTTAAGAAGAAGATTTTTAACAAATTTTCCTATATATTTCTATGTAAAACTTTGATCGGCCATTGTGGCCCCGCCCTACCCCAGGGGGTCATGATTTGAACAAACTTCAATCTGCACTACCTGCACTACCGTAAAACATATATAGTACAACATAGGCTGTTGGAGTCTTCTACTCGCAACTGGTACATTGTATTTGACAAGTATCATTAATGTTCATACCTTTCTTTTCCCTCACTTTATGCAGCTGAAATTCCCATGGACCATCCTGTACAAAATTGGCTATAAACAATGCATTATTTCCAGAGGATGTCATATGTACTAATTCACATAATCGTACACATTTCAACTCAGATTCGCCGATAACAGTCAGGGATTTACAATCCATGTCCAGTATAAAGAACTGATTCGTTGTGCTGTGAGCAATAACTACTGAACCATCATGACAAGCCTACAATGACAAGAAACTATGACATATATACATGTATACTAATAGAATACTGAGCATGCATGTGTGCATAAGAATTAAAACACATTTTTTAAAACAAAACAATGAAACATAAATCACCCCGGCTATATCACATACACATCATCCGTATACGTATTTCTTTGCAAATGTTATACAGCGTACAGTGTATATGTTAAAAATGAAATTGTTTTTCGAAAAAGAGAGGTCAATAAGGCATTCAACTATCTCACAGTTAGATTACCGTTAATTCTTTGAGTCTGCAGTCGTCTTTAGAAGGGACTTTGATGATTGATTTCGTCATCCCACTGCCAATATCGTAAATTTTGAAGTGTTTCCTTCCTTTTGTTACGGTAACTAGTTCTGGAATTCAATAACATTGTTTGAGATTAGGAACAGGGTGACGAAGAGCCTAAACGCTCACCTGTGTATAATACAGCGCTGTCAAGGATACACAGAAGTATTAAAACAATAACTGATAGATGACAGGTTCCACCAAATCAAAAGGAATAGGATGAACCAGTACATAAAAAGTCTTTAACTCAGTAAAAATAGTAAATCTATTAACTACTTGTGTGCCACTGTACACTCAAATTTTATTTCACGGATCAAACAAAACATAGTGCTTGAGACATAAAATACTTGTCTATCTAGGCCTCACATTAGTATCTCTTGGTTTTTGAATTGATGGTCCAGTTGACCATCAAAAAATAATGAAACAATTTACTTTATTTCTTATAATTCTTGTACGTATATTTTTTTTCTTTATAAATTGATCTATCAATAAAATTATTTACAGTGATTAATTGCGGTAAGAGAAATCTCTCCTCTTTGCAGAGTACAAGTTTCCCTACAAAATCAAGCTCTACTCACATTAAAGCGTGCAAATTTTTACTACATGATTTATATCTTTTCTACAAGTAAGCAACATAATACCTTTAGACCAGAAACCCATGAATGTCAGTCTTGGAAGAGGCATCTTTGCTCATCGAAATCATGCACCTAAATTATTAGCTTTAATATTGAACGGGAGAGAATGTTTCGAAAGAAATTATATATTTCTACTACATGAGAAATAGAGACCCATCCTCAATCCAATTCAGAAGCCCTAAAATTGGGGCAAGGAATTTAATGATGTTTGTAAAGACATCATTGCTTGTTATAACTATGCAACCGGTTGATTCTCTTGGAGTTAGGAAGATATCTTTTTAGATTATTTGAGTTTTTATGGGCATGTAGAACGTAACATAAATAATTTTTGTACCCTTAACCCATAAATTCTGTATGCCAAAATTAGTTTAAATTGATCAAGTTCTAAAAGAAAAGAAGCTGAAAAGCCCGTCAAACAAAGGGAGAGAGAGAGAGAGAGAGACCACAACACAGTACATTTTTCTGATATCATTTCAATCTTTACAATTATTTTTGCTTGAATGAAATACCACAAAACATTTAGCGTTTATTTTCTGTGTCTTTGGCATTCAAATACCTCCTCTGTCTCTCAAAACAGCAATTTCTAGGTATCCATATCCAGTAAACGGAATGTGCTGGAACATTTTCCCCTGAAAACTTCTTGTTACTTCCATTTTATCTATATTGAGGATTTTCAACTTCCGGTCTGATGAGCATAAGATAACTTCAGTATCATTCAGAACTTCAAACAAGCGTGGTTTCTCATTCTAGTGCAGATATAAAATGTGCATACTTTATCGGTGATAACACAGGGAATAAAAAAATAAGAGCGTAACTATGGATTCAACCTTTTAAACAACTAGAATTGATTACTAGTATACAAGATGGTTCAAATTTTTAAAAGTACTTTTTTAAAAACTTCGCTACATTCATTACTTTTATGTTTCCAAAATTTCTAATTAAAATTGTGTTTTATAGAATATTGTACCTTATTATAATATTGATCTAACTCATATCAAGTTGTGAATTAATAGTGCATGAACTGATCGAAAATTTACATATTGAATGCACAATATTTTCTTTCTGTCACTTGTCATACTAAAATGTTTGCAAAATCTAAGATGGAGGGGAAGTGATTAAATCATCTTTGCCCCCTTGTTCATCCATAGCCTTACTTTTTTCACATACCAGAGGGACGAGGAACAAAAGTTAATTTATATTACCAGGTATGTCCAAAGATTTGTCAAGACCTTATTCAGAGAATTTTTTGAGAGAATTTATGTGTAATTCTAATGTCTAGTTCATTGCTTTCTCATACTGAAAGGACAGTAGCTCATACTTGGCAGCGAGCTGGTTATTAACATAATATGACCATAATACGTCAAAAACTCACCCATGGTCATCTGCTAATTACAGTATAAATTTTAACATCGTTCTAACTTTTCAACAGTTAAAAATGGCTGTTATAGGAACAAAAATTACCATCTGACACTTTCTGGTTACATCTTTTGTTGCCAAGTCAATGGCCACAACAGCATAATCTTCGTCCTCTCCCTTCATTCGACGGCCCATCATGAACAACTGAGCAAGCCCAAGTAAATAACGCGGACTTGATACAGGGCCATAATCACTAAAACATAATTTATTGTATAAGTGACCGTTTTAAACTTAGATTAGGTAATTGAATGCCTGCTAGTCAGGTATTAGTATTCCTTTTTAAAAACCAAAAATAAGTAAGGAAATTCAAGCTCCAGAGCCAGTTGATTTTGGAATATACTCTTTAAAACTCATCATATCTACTTACTACATATGAGCAAGATGTTTAACTTTATTTGTTTGGACGTCTTTCATTTTCTTGGTTAGATCCCACACTCTCAAGATTGGATCATTCGAAATTGTAACCATGGTTTTCCAGTCTGTGGATGCTAGACCCAGGACAACTCCCGGGTGAAGGAATGTCTGATAAAAAAAATGAGAATCTTTTCAATTCATCAATAAACAATGTGTATGCAATTTTATGTATTATATTTACAGTCATTCTTTAAAGATAAAAAGAATAAAAAGAGAAAACGATAGTCGTATTTTAAGAGAAATTAAGATTGAATGTGTATTCCAATTAAATCAGTAAATAGCTTTTACCTCAAATACATATTAAAATAAAGCTGTTATTTCTTTCGTTTAGCAGTGGTGGTGACCCTAGTGTGACATACCCATTTGAACTTTTCTTCTTTAAGATTCCATGTGCAAACATTTTGGCCCACTTGGTAGAAGAGTTCCAAACCATCAGGGGAAAGGACAAATTGTCCTAATGTCAAATCCTTCCGATCACCTGAGATATCATTTAAAGAAGTAGATAAGGTATAATTCTTTTATATACAATGTTATAATAGCATAACTATTAATTGTTTAGAATACTACTGTAGCATTTGCCCAGAAAAGGTTGGGCATGCATATAAATATGACAAACAGAATATCAGTAGTAAAACTACTTTGGAACCTTATCTCTACTATCTAATATTACGATACTTACAAACTTCAACATTCACTGGCAAAACTTTCTCATTTTACTTGTTTAAATAATAAATTGTACTGTTGCTTTTCTCAAGATGTAAGTTTTCTTTCTTTTCCCTACATAAAACTTTAATTATTTGGTTCCCAACTCGAAAATCCTATGTGGAGGACTTTTCTCTAACCTCTTAGATGAAGGGTATGGAGATAACGAACGGTATTCAATATTAAAGTCCATAAAACAATACAAAATAGGAGCAGAGCAAACACGGACCACCAAAACATCAGAAGTGGGGTCAGGTGCCATGGAGAAATGAGCATCCCTGCCGACCAGTCACACCTGCCGTGTGCTCCTTGTCATGATTTGGAAATAAGGGAGAAAATCCGTCGTTAATTAAGTGTATAATTAATGGACTAACAATTAGTATGAAAAACGTCAGTCAGCATTTGACTCAATGATAAATTGTATTTGCTGACAAGGTCATTGTATCGACCATAGAACTTACGAAATGATGACTTTAAACGAGACTGCTGATATTCTTGTTTCATCAACTTATTTGTCAATAATTTACCTCAGTTAAGAAATTGTTCATACGTAGAGCATGCTTTTGCGTAACGAATCAACTGAGATATATATACTCCGTATGCAAGTGATAAAGGTATACTGCTGCATAAATAAGGGAAGTTGACGATAGAAAAGTTAAAGTCATCACGTTTATCATAGAGCTTGGTTGTTAGATTACCATTCACGTCTTTTTCAAGTAAAATATCCAAGTATGAAACAGATAGAACATTTTGTAAAACTACAAATGCTGGACCATAACATTGTTCAACCTTACAACAATAAAAAGAAAGGGCAGAATCTATATGACAATTTACATGTTGACCAAGGGATCGCTTAACAAAAGAATATCAGGTCATCGATTTCAAATAAATCATGGTGGTCAGCAGCTTTTATACAAACACTTTCATTCACCTGATCATTCTATTTTATCAATGAAAGTTAGAATTCTCGAAAAGATTTATGACCACACAAATAGTCCGTCGCTGAGTACACCTTTCCGTAGACAACGAGAAGAATTTTGGATTAGAAAACTAGGGACAGCCTTTCCCTATGGATGTAATGATAATGTCGATAGTGTTGGAAATCTTTCCAGTCCGCAGTGTAATAATGTAAATGTGATGGGACTTTTTAACCATACTCAGAGACGTAAGCGTAGTCATGGGCATCGTTCGTACAATAAACCTGCAATACATAATGTCTCTTTTGATTCATTACTACCTTATGTAAATCAACAGTTAGGTCTACATCATATTCGAACACAACTTTACTCTGTCCCTTTGAAACCTTTAGGTAGTCTTCTTGAAAAGGCCAAGGAACGTCCAAGTTTTGATTCCTCGTCACCTGAATATAGGCTCGAATCTGTGATTATGGATATTGCATATCATACATGTAGGCTTTTTAAACTCGCACGTTTCACGGAAGAAAATGCAGCTAAAACAATCCGTCTTTTCCTTAAACTTCAATATGCCAATAAAGGAATTGACGCGGTTAATATAAGTAATATTCTTAATCACAAAAGGGTCCAGTCTTGGTTTCCACCGTATTTCAAGTTAAAGACTACACCTTGTATATCCTAAAAATATACATCGACCATTGCTTCCAAAATTTTCAATTATAAAAACACTTTACATGGCCTGGATACCGACTATCTGAAACATAATCCTCCTTCGTGTTCATGTTCTTCTTCGCCCTATAACTATAGTCCTTCTGGACACGTAATTACAGGTGACGTAAATATAGTTAGTAATGAGGACCTTAGATCACTTATTTTAAAAGGTCCTAAATATAGGGAACCCTGGCGTCGGAATTTCATAAATATTATGGATTCCTTTCAAAATTACGCCAGGCGATGGGCCAGATATGAAAAATAAGACGTTGACACCTTGTCAGAATGGATAAAATGTATTAGATCTATGCTGAAGTCGCGTATTAGGAGATTGAGAGGCAAAATGAAAACCATCTATCCTTCTGTGTTCAATAAACCAGAAGTGAAACAAGAGGCCCATGGGCCTTATAGGTCACCTGAGCATTATGCAACATCTTTCCAGTGATTGAATTTGATTCATGTTTTAAGCCAGATGCTATGGCATTCACAATTTTGAAAGAGGCATCATTTATCCTAACTATACACTTAGCAGTTGCTTAGTTTGGTAACTTAATACCCATAGGCAGGGCAGAGGAACAAAAATGCATTTCAACTAATCAGTAATATTCAGCAATAATCAGTAATGCCCCTACCACACATGAACCTAGACCCTTAGGCCTAGATCCACACATTGCGAAATTTTTGAAAATGCATCCTTGCTTTTCAAAAATATTTGATTAATACAAAGGAGCAGATTTCAAACAATTCATTCATTTTCAGTCTATAAGTACAGCCCCTCCCCCCCCCCCCACCTCTATGGTACCCCTGACCCTGGGGCCTTGACATTCACAATTCTGGAAGATTAGGCCCTTGTTAATAACTAAATAGATAGTTCATCTGCTTAATACCCAGGAGCAGAGAAGAAAATTTTCAAAGAAGTAATGTATTTTCACTATATAATCAACAGAGCCCCGCCTAACACCAGAACCCCTGACCCTGGGGCCCTAAAAATTCACAATTTTGGTAGAGGCAAATCTATGCTCATCATAACTATGCACTTAGTTGGTTTATTTAATAACCAGGAGCAGAGAAGAAGATTTTCATAGAAATAATGCATTTTCACTATATACTTATTTAGCCCCGCCCTAGCACTAGAACCCCTGACCCCAAGGCCATAAATTTCACAATTTTGGTAGAGGACTCAATGCTGATTACAATCATGCAAACAGTTTGACCGCTTGATGTCCAGGAGTAAAGAAGATTTTTAAAGATTGCATTAATTTTAGTGGTTTTGGCCCCACTCCTCAGGCCCCAGGGGGGCAGGGATCACGAAATTCACAATTTTCTTCCCCTTCACCCATAGATGCTTTGTGCAAAATTTGGTTGAAATTGGTTCAGTGGTTGCAGTGAAGAAGCTGAAAATGTTCAAATGTTAACGCACGACGCACAGCGCACGACGCACGACGACGGACGAAAACAGATAGCAATAGGTCACCTGAGTTTACTCAGGTGACCTAAAAAGAATTACATAGATTACATGATCAGTACGTACTGGTTCCTGCCGACAAAGCAGGTAACATCATTGTCTTCGTTTGTAAGGTTCATTATATAAATTGCATTCTAGAAGAACTTGGATTTAAGGAAGGCCCACACTTTTACGGATCCGCTTCTAATTTTACACATCAATATAAAATTCTGATTCTCACTTGTCTGTTGATATAAAATCTTTTTGGGTGATTGAAAATGGTTTAGCAAGTATATATTTGTTTATTATAGTGTTATTGTGCATACAAAGCATTTAATATACATTATTTATGGAAATTAACACTTTGCACTCTGTCCATAAGATCTATATGTCATTTAGTAATTAATACACAGACACAAAATTCTTACTTGCTTTTATGGACCTAAATCTTTTTAATTTTCTTTTAAGCAAACTAACCTGAGATCTATATTATTGATTTAGAGCCTATACCATCCATTTAATTTTTACTTTTTAAAAATTTTGCAATGAATAATTGAAAAAATTGATATTCCAAAAATGGGGGTATACATCTTCAAAAGACTGTTTTGTTAAAAATTCTCTGGTCAACCATAATAAATTATGTGTTTTTGTTAACATTAGATATAATTCTTAATAATTTTAAAGAAAAAATGGCATCTAAACAGTTTGAATTTTGAGAATTATAAAAAATAAAGATATTTTGAGATTTTTTCCTGAAAGACATGGACAGACTTAACATCAATTTGTTAATGTTTTGCAGTAAAGATTTCAAATATTCTCTTGGCAAATAAATATTTTTGATCTTCATAAGTTTTAACATAAATTTGATGTGATTTGCTGCATAACTAAGAGAAATATGATATCACACTTTTTTATGTTCAATTTTGGCTGTTGAGTTTTTAGAGGTATGTGCTCTGAGACCTGTTGTATGAAAATTAACCTGCAAAGATATGCCTTTTATGGGTGTTTTAGTTAGTTTAAGACTTATTCAAGGTATTCAAATTGAAAAATTATCAGTTTGACAGAAAATTCTTAAAGTACGGACCTACCTTAATTGTTCAACCAAGCCTATTTCGTTACTCCTCACTAAGATATTGACAGTAGTGAAGGAAAAACGTCAAGAGTACTGTGCAACTATATATTCAAGAAGTGGTGTGAATCAGATGTGGATACTAAAAAATTCTGAAGAACTATTGGACAATTTGAAATCACAAGACTTTACAAAAATCACCAGCTTAAAAACTTACGACTTTGCAACTTTATACACAACAATTCCCCACGACAAATTAAAATACAGGCTTTTGATATCATTGACAGCTGCTTCTTCAATAAAAATGGAACTCGTAAATTTACTTACCTCGTCACTGGTCATTTGCAAAATTATTTTGTTAAAACAGATTCTGATTGGACACATAAGTACTCTGAAGTTGACTTCAAGAAGATGCTTGAGTTTCTGATTGACAATATCTATGTGGTTTTTTGAGACCAGGTATTCCAACAATTTATTGGAATTCCCATGGGTACAAATTGCGCTCCGTTATTAGCAGACTTATTTTTATATTCATATGAAGCAGAATTTATGCAAAATCTTACACGTGAAAAGAAGAAAACACTTGCTGTAGCCTTCAACTCGACATTTTGATTTATCGACGACGTATTGTCAATTAACAATGGTAATTTCCATTCCTACGTCGATACGATATATTCTGGTGAGCTTGAGATAAAAGATACCACAAAGTCTGACACTTCTGTTTCGTACTTGGATATTTTACTTGAAAAAGACGTGAATGGTAATCTAACAACCAAACTGTATGATAAACGTGATGACATTAACTTTTCTATCGTCAACTTCCCTTACTTATGCAGCAATATACCTTCATCACCTGCATACGGAGTATATATATCTCAGTTGATTCGATACGCAAGAGCCTACGTATGAACAATTTCTGAAACGATGTATATTATTGACAAACAAGTTGATGAAACAAGAATATCAGCAGTCTCGTTTAAAGTCATCATTTCGTAAGTTCTATGGTCGATGTTCTATGGTCGATACAATGACCTTATCAGCAAATACAATTTATCATTGAGTCAAATGCTGACTGACGTTTTTCATACCAAATGTTAGTTCATTATTTATACACTGAATTGACGACGGATTTTTTTCCGTTATTTCCTGATCATGACAAGGAGCATACGGCGGGTGTGACCGGTCGGCAGGCGATGCTCACTCCTCCATGGCACCTGTTCCCACCTCTGATGTTTCTCTGTGTTTGTTCTGCTCTTGTTTTGTATTGTTTTATGGACTTTGAGATTGAATACTGTTCGTTATCTCCATATCCTTCATTTACATATCAAAACTACAGAAAATACTATTCTCGAAAAAAATGAGTGGACGGCTGGGTTCTAATGGCTCAATTGATATATGTACTCCCCTATTTAATATAGGTTCTCAAATCTAACCACGTAAATAAAAAAAAACACTAGAACAGAAACAACCTGGTGAAGATCTTACAACTCACAAGATGCATTCTAAGTTTCATACCTTCAATACACCTATCCTCTTTCATGGTAGCGGTGTCTAGAAATCTGATATCATTGTCGAATCGGATGGAAAATATGACGTGCCTCTCATCTGGCATTATTGCTAGAGACTTGATGATATGACGTCGTTTAACCTTCTCTGGGTACGGAACATTATACAGCGACACCTTCTTTGTCATTAGATCAAACACAATGAATTTCTCCCGTGGTTCCACTGTAGCGGCCACTAATGATTTAGAGCCTATAGAATCAAAATAATTTTTTGTCTTCAAAAAAACAATTTCTTAGGAAAAGGCATAAAATAAAATTGAAAGGGATAAAAATACAGAATAATCATTGTATAAAAATGTCCAAAGTCTCATTTTCTATTAAATTTTCAAAATTAATATTACTAGTATGCATTTATACTATTTAATAAAGTTTCGTTTTTTTTTATAGGGAGGACTTTCCAAAAAAGACATCCAGGGGACTAATTTTTCCTTTATTTTTTTAAAAAAATCACATTTTGTTTTCTATCTTAGGATCAAGCCTTTATCTTGAAATTTAGAAAAATAACTTACCGACTGCTACACCCGTCTCGCTGAAATGAACACCTTCCTGACATTTAATCGTGTCCGTCTTCTTCCCAGTACGGGCATCGTACCAGTCTATGGTATTGTCTTGGAAAACAAGAAAGACAACCCTGCCTTTGTTCGCTGGACACAAAAGAGTTCTCTCCTTTGGGATAGAGATTGTATATGCAACCTCTCCAGTTTCTTTAATTGCAACGAGTTTATGAACGAAATGGACCAAGATCATCGAATCGTTACAAATAAAGAACACTTTAACCGCTATTCCAGTAACGTTCTCGATTGATTTGATCAGCTTTCCGTTTTTAACATCCCAAAGCTTGATGCTATTATCAGGGCGATTTGCACCTTTGAAGAAAAAATTCAGATATATTAAAATGAATTCAATATGTTTTTAATTATTATCAAAAACACTCGTATCAATAATGTTAAGAGTTCGTTTCATCCCACAAAAATCAAAGTAAAGAAACCACTATATACATATAAATTTCATCTTAGTTAATATCTGATTTTTTAAAAAGATAAATTTTGATATATATATAAACTAACAACTAACTACGGTTGAACCATCCTGTTTCATATCCACAGCTCTCAGCTCTTTAGTGTGACCCGATAACGAGTAGACTAAGGACCCTCCGGGCTTCATTAATATATTGTGATAGGGTAGCAAGTAGCTAAAGGGGTAGTCCTTCAGCTGAGTCAGGAAGGAGTCGGCAATCTAAAGTATCAGAAGAAAAACCAAGTACAGGCTTTGGAAAAGTAATAGAAATACATGTGTTTTAAGTATATGACTGGGTCATCACCGCATAATAAAAGCAGAATATGTTATTGTGTATCGAATTATCTGGGATACATTAAAACATTTATGCAGGTGATAATGGACTTTGTTTACCAGCAAGGGTATGGTGTAGTACTTACACGACAGAAAAGTTAAAGCCATCACGTTAAAATAAAGGTTAGTTGTTATTTTCCAATATTGTCATTTTCTAGTAAAAAAAATTCAAAAACCGAAACAGATGTGCCAAACTCTGTTACTTCTTTTATTTTTAATTTAATGGAATATATTGAAATCAATGTATGAATGAAAAATAAAATAATCACCGATAACATTTGTGGATAGATCGAAATGTCGAATACCATGCTACTAAAGTATAAGAGAGACGTTTTCGTGGGGGTCTTTAGTTTTAAATTATTAATAATACTTTCATGACAATTAGAAACAGGTCTGCTAACGAAGGGCCAATGAGAAATCAAGCACATTGTTTGATAATACACGATTAAAAAAACTATAGCGATATTTATTTATCAAATAAGAACTCCATGCAGTATCTTTTTTTTAAATTTATCTTACGAGTATTTATGTGAAAAATCAAACTTATTTCTAAAAAATTCGGTCATTTTGACGGATATATAAAGAAAAAGAATGTTTACAGTCAAACTACTTATTTTACAGCATTTTGACTGTTACTGTACCTTCTCTGATGAAAGCCTGTCAATCAACTGTGGCACAAGTTGCATTTTGTCAAAGATAAGCGCATGCTCAGAGAGCTGTAGCGTGTCTCTGATTATACAAATTTCTTTGTCACTGGTCTTTTCAGTAGAAAGCGTATAATCAGACAGTAGATTGCTGTAAAACATTGAAGAAAAAAATTCTTTATAAGGAACAACTGAATTCAAGAATAATTTGATCCGCTAACTGATTCGTTCAAAGACTTTGCATATAAATATCTTACCTGCAGGACGTGGCAAGTAGTTTGCAAAACATAAATCTAAAATTGCACAAGCTCTCTTTCTTAGCCATCTCTATCTGACCAGCTTTGATTCTGTGATAAGGTAAGTTATTCAGCTTCCGTACATTGAATGAACTTCCAAACATCAGTGGCTGTGTTGAGACAAACCTGTCCGCCTCTGACATTTTTCCAGACTTATCTTTGTATGGTTTCTTCTTATTTCCTAAATATAAGTACATACATTTACATACATATAGTATAAACCTCATTTACCGTCATTTAAGTGATTTTTTTTTTCTCGGAAAACATTTGGAGGCAAAAAAAAGTTACATGTACTTCACTGAATACTTTGCTTTCTGCCAACGTTATAATATTTTTCGGACTTTTTTTCATACACATCATTCAATTTAATTTTTTATCAGAAAATCATGCATAAAATGTTGTAAATTTAAGGAGTGTTCATACAAAATTTACAACATAGCAGCTTTATCGTTGAAGAGTTTGTCTTTAAATTCCATCTAGTAAATTCACAACATAACAATAGTACCATGTTAAGGAGAAAACTAAATAATTTATTTAACATGCATTAACGTGATTACTATAAACACTGAATAGAAAGAAACAACGAGGGCGCTTTTGATTGGCATTCGGCAGGAATCTGGGCGTAATTGGAAAGTGAAAATTTTATCGACATGTCACGTGAAATTTTAACATTTTTTTTATTTATCGGGTTCCTGTGCAACAGGAAAGGAAAATGTTTTCCCGAAGTTGAGCTTTGATTTGCTAAGAAATGACTTGAAAATTGGCCAGATCAGACATTTGGTACAAAATGGTACATTTTTAAACACGTTTTTCTATAATTTTTCTATCTCTGGGTCTTCTCTCCATGATTTTGAAACGTTATTTGTTTGTATTTTAATTCAAAGAAACGAATACACTTTTTTTAAAAATGGAGAGAAGACCCAGAGACCACGAAAAATGAACTTTTCCCCAAAAAATCCAAATGTGTGAATGTGGTGCTTCTTTGTCCTTTTAAAATCAACTTTGTATGTGTAGCGGTGATAGCTTAGGAAGTTGGGCTACCTGTTCAGTGCACTGGAATCGAAAAGTTTTTGGTTCGAGTCTGGCATGGGGCGTTAATTATTTTTTTCATGCAAACAACCATTTATTTTGTCAGTTTCTTTTTATATATATCAAAATTTTGAATTAGATTAATTTTGGTTCAGTTTGGTTCTCGAGCGAAATCAATTCTAATCTTCTATTCTATATAATGTACACTGTACATGTACACGCATCATGCATCTATATGCATTAAATATTTTAGGTGTTTATTTTTTGTGAAACATTACTATGTTATAGTACCCCCTAGGAAAAACGGACAAAAATGTTACAATCTCACGCTTTCAAACTAATTGAAAAAAACCTATGGACGTGTTTGTAAACTCTGACAAGTTATCTTCAGCCAACCAAATCATGGACATTTAAACCATAAATGTTTCGTGCAAATGATTCTTGCAGATCACACGCCAAATGCGCCCATCTTCTTTGAACATCATAAAATTTACAATTTGATGATTTAGAAGTTTTATGTATGCATTATTTATCCAGTGTTTTATTTCAAACTTGCGTTTGTAAAATATTGTATCCCTGATCTTCAGGCCTGGAGTAAATACATATACATGTAGATACTTTACCATTGGACCATGTTCCACTGAAGAAGTCGGCCAGTGCTGCGTGTAGCCTCTGCTCTTCTCGACAATAGCGGTCTTGTGCTGCCTGTATAAACTGTCTGTGGTACCAGTACATCACGGTCAACCTATCAGCACCTCGCTCAACTGTAAGTTTATAAATAAATACAATTATTATACTTCTGTTAAAATGTTTCCTTTATAAAGTTCAGAAGGTAAAATAACTATCTTTTATAGTTCACGCATAGCAAAGCTATACCCCGGGGTATAGTATACACTTATCCACTGGTTGTGAGTGGGATAGCTCTTTTATCAAACTCTTGACAGGGACTATTCCCCTCGGGCAAGCCCTCGGGGAATAGTCCCTGTCAAGGGTTTGATAAAAGAGCTATCCCACTCACAACCAGTGGATAAGCGTTTTATTATACTGATGTATAATATAATTTCTATGGTTTGAGTTTTTTGGGAGTAAGATAATACTGCAAGAATAATCTGAATCCCGATGACGTCACAATGCTACTGAAATCATTATGACATCATCAGTCAATAGATTTATCGCTGGAAATCAAAATTGGAGGCAAAAATTGCATGAAAATTTTCCGAGGGTGGATAGCAAAAACTATACCCCGGGGTATAGCTTTGCTATGCCTGAACTATAAAAGATAGTTATTTTACCTTCTGAACTTCATATAGGAAACAATCTAACAGACGTATAATAATTTTTGCTATCCACCCTCGGAAAATTTTCATGCAATTGTTGCCGCCAATTTTGATTTCTTTAAACAAGAGTTTAAAGATCTTTTGACATCTTTAAACTGATGATGTCATAATGACTTCAGTAGCATTGTGACGTCATCGGGATTTCAGATTATTCTTGCAGAATTATCCAACTCCAAAAAAAAAAATAAAACCTCAGAAATTATATTATACATCACTCATCAGTATAATAAAACGTTTATCCACTGGTTGTGAGTGGGATAGCTCTTTTATCAAACCCTTGACAGGAACTATTCCCCTCGGGCAAGCCCTCGGGGAATAGTTTTGTCGCGGGTTTGATAAAAGAGCTATCCCACTCACAACCAGTGGATAAGTGTATAATATTCTTCAAGATATCTTTTTTTAAAGCATTACATACAGACAAAGTGGGTAATTTTTATTACCTTGCCCTTCAATATTTTTATCTCAATTTCATGGTGAAAGGGAATTGTGGTTTGAAATTTCAAAAGTTCATAGGCTTTTTCAGATATTTTCCGGAAACAAAAGTGTTAAACATAGACAGAATGACAGACAAATGGACCTAGGGGCCCAAAATTATTATACCCTACTTTCTGTGAATAAGGGTAACAAAATAAGACATTTTAAATCAATATTAAGGTTTTTAACTTACCAATATATTCACTTAAATCCGCCTTAAGTCTAAGTAGAAGTAATGGAGGCAGACGACGAAGAGGAGGCGTCCAGTAAGTATATACGTCATTAAGTACGTCATCATCACAGGCTAGAATGTCCTCTATTTCTCCTTCTGAGAGGCCACTTTTTGCTTTAAATTATAAAATGAAACATATGGAGATAACGAACAGTATTCAAGGTCAAAAGTCCATTAAACAATACAAAATAGGAGCAGAGCAAACAGAGACCTCCAAAACATCGGAGGTGGGATCAGGTGCCATGGAGGAGTAAGCACCTCCTGCCGACCGGTCATACCCGCCGTGTGCTCCTTGTCATGATCGGGAAATAACGGAAAAATCCTCTATCAATTCATTATACAAATAATTGACTAACAACTAGTTAGAAAAACGCCAGTCAGCATTTGACTCAATGATAAATTGTATTTGCTGACAGGGTCCTTGTATCGACCATAGAACTAAGAAATAATGACTTTAAACGAGACTGTTGAATTCTTGTGTCATCAACTTATTTGTCAATAATTTACCTCGTTTTAGATATTGTTCATACGTACAGCATGCCCCTGGGTATTGATTCAACTGAGATATATTAACTCCGATGATGATGAAGGTATATTGCTGCATAAGTAAGGGAAGTTGACGATAGAAAAGTTTAAGTCATCACGTTTATCATAGAGCTTAATTGTTAGATTACCATTAACGTCCTTTTCAAGTAAAATATCTAAATATGCAACAGATGTGTCAGACTCTGTGGTATCTTTTATCTCAAGCTCACCAGGATATATCGTATCAACATAAGAATGGAAATTACCATTGTTAATTGACAGTACGTCGATCGTCGATATATCTTAATGTGGAGTTGAAGGCCACGGCAAGTGTTTTCTCCTAATATCATCAAATACAATTGATCATTAAGTCAAATGCTGATTGACGTTTTTCATACTAATTGTTAGTCCATTATTTATACATTGAATTGACGACGGATTTTTCCGTTATTTCCCAATCATGACAAGGAGCACACGGCGGGTGTGACCGGTCAGCAGGGAATACTCACTCCTCCATGGTACCTGATCCCACCTCTGATGTTTTAGAGGTCCGTGTTTGCTCTGCTCCTATTTTGTATTGTTTTATGGACTTTCATATTGAGTACTTTTTGTTATCTCCATATCTTTTTACGCATATATTTTGCACAAATTCTGCTTCATATGAATACAAAATAGGGCTGCCAATAACGGGATGCAGCCGCTACCCAAAAAACAATTTTATTAACCTTCAAATTCGAATTTGATTTGGAGAACTTCTTAACGTCTTCATTGTTTTGAACAACTACATAGCTACATTTTGTATTACTTACCAGCTGTAATGTAACCAAGTGTTTTTGATACAAAAAGTTCACCATGCATTCTCTCTAACTGGAAGAAGAGACGATTGATGCTGTCCCGTATTGTGGTTTGCAGTCTGGTAGAATCTTGCGTTGCTGATGATGTCCATCTACACGCTTCATCAAATGACAACTTCAGATTCAGCGGAAGTGGACACTCATCAAACGACCGCAGTAACAAGTCTCTCTGTGACTCTGTAAGCGTCCTGTGTTTTCCTTTTAACCAAGAGTCGACAATACTTTTCACATCAACTTCTGGTAATTTTTCCACAGCAATATAATTTTCTGACGACGGATACAGAAATTTGATGGAGGGGAAACATTCATATTTCTCGTCCTCCAAGGTTGACACTATAATTCTGACATGCTGTGGTACAAAGCTTGGCATCCATCCAAGCTGTCGACCCTGATGGGAAGTATCTAGCTGGTCCATCGAATCTAAAAGAAGGAGAAGCTCTTTGTCTTTCGTCGGTAAATCTTGCAAACATCTCTGAAACTCTAAGACAAGCTCCTTTGGCTCCTGAAGTAAATAAGTATAAAATTAATAGATGCAACATCAAATAAACAAATTTGGAAAAGATATATTACAGTGTAAAATAAATTGCATTGGCAGTGTCTGTTACTTACCTCTGAAGTTACTGATGTATCGCCGTAAACAGTTTTGATTTGGTGACAAATACTTCTCAGCAGGGAATTTATATTGGAGCTCCTGGGAGTAGTCCCAATGAATCTAAGCATGAAAATTGTACATATATTAGCGTTTTATTCCTTTTCTGTTATAAAAGCATTTAAATGCACCAACTGAGGAATGTTTTACCTGATGACAACCACCGTGTCCTGAACGGCGGAGTCGGTCATCATGGCTGTCTGGGCCATAATGGAGGTCTTACCAGAGCCAGACTCGCCATGGATAACTAGTGGAGCATCGTCATCGCTGTTCAGGTAGGATTCTACTTTCTGAAATATGATGAAAAATTAAATACTTCAATTCCAAGACAGCTATTAATATCACAGTCTGTATAACTGTCTCGTTCTAGAGCAAAAATGTGTGCTTCGAATAACCATGTCTTAAAATTCAAACTGTGTCTATCTAACATGTTCTCTGACATTATTTCATTAATGTTTTCAAAAACATATGTTGATGATTACCTTCATGATATGGCCACGACCATGGAAATTTTCGGATTTTTCATGAGCAAATCTAAGGTGTTGAAGACATTCCTCAAACAGTGCGTTGTTTTTGAATGTGCTTTGTTCTCTTTCTTCGATTCCAGCTTTTATTAATCGACAGATATGTGTCTCAAAATCAGAAGTCATTTTCCTAAGGTACTCCTTGTGTTGGGTGTTTTCTTGGTCAATCCCTATAGATTAATTAATTTTTTTATGTAAAAAATATCAATTTTAAATTAGAACGATTATTTCTCATACTTTTTTTCAGAATCTGTTTAAATACGTGAACAACAGAACTACCTTTTTCTGTCCAGTCAATATCATAGGAACAGATGTTTTCAGGGGAGAGGACCTTTGGGATTTTCTTCTCCTTCAAGTCATTCAACATCATCTTTGCCTTCTTAATTTTCTCATCTGGGCCCAAGCATTCTATAATTAGAGAACACAAAACTAAAATACTTCAGATATCAAATAATATGTCTTATGAAATGCCCCCATACTTTCGGAAAGCTTGTAAAACCTGAAGTAGTTTAAAAAGTCAATGAAAGGACTTCATATACGATTGTCTGAGAGAGGGCGCATGTCTGTTATTGTATGTGAGAGAGAGAATGTGTGCGCGCAATTTACCTGTAAATCTAGAAACAAGTCTAGATGACCCAGCTTTGTCAATCCCCCGTATATTTCTTTTGAACCATAAACAATGTTTGTTTGCATCCTTTACATCCAGTAGTCCAGCTTTTACTTCTTTTTCAGAGACTGAAAAAAGTGTTTCAATTTTGAACATTGAAACTTATTTCTTATCGTTAAACTATTTGGAAGTTAAGAAAAAGATATCTAGAATACTATTTTGGAGTTTTTCAATGTTTTTAATGATACATTTGGTACAATTTAAAGCAAATTATATCGGTAATAGTATTTGTGCAGCTGAAATATTCGAATATATTTATTTTTGGTATTTGTTTCAGCTTCTCTTTGTATTGGAGAAGGTAGTAAATGTTGATATTTACCGGAAATGACGTACTTCTCAGCTTCCGTTTCTCCTACTGCCTTTTTAGCGGCTTCATAAAGAGCTCCTTGCATAGCATCGTTATCCTCCCACCATTTTGACTTGGCTGCCAATTTTTTATCGGCTTCTGGCGAAAGAAATTCTGGTAAGATTTTGCTGATGGACTGCAAGACGTATACCGGAGGTACAGAGTTGTCATCCCTAATGTACCATCTACATTAAACAAATATATTTTAATAATATTAGCTGAATAAAAGAAAAGATGATCTTTTAGGTTAGACATTTGGAAAAGCATAACGAGTGTACTTACTTCTTTAACAATGCAGTATTCTTCTCAACTTGGGCACAGTTCAAAAGCTTCTCAAACTCTGAGGCGTCTATTTCTCTCGGCAGTGCACAGTATCCGTACTTATGTGATAATAATGTCTGGGGATGATTAATATATAAAAAAAATAATTATAAATATATATGTACATGAATGTTTTATGAAAATGGCTGAAAAGTTGACCATTTGAACTTAGAAATTAGAAAAAATCAGAAACTGCAATTTTAAATCATTTATGTTTGAAGCAATAAATAAAATATATCAAATCAATTTTATGTAAGAAAGTGAACCCTTCAAACATTTAATGATCTATACTTACAACAAAGAATGGTCCAGTAGACATGTCTCGACATTGGGTCAGTTCCTTTAGACACAGCTCTGTACCCATGTGGTCATCTGTAGACTCATCCCTGACCCCCCATCTCATGTCCACCACCTGGAAGTCGTAACCTCGGCTCTGACAAAACAGTTTTATTCTGGGATACGTTTCCTCTAGAAGCATGTTCCGTTCCAGCATGGTGTCTAAAGTTAGTAAATCAAACTTAAATTTAAAAAAAATCATATATGTTCACTTACAACACAAGAAGAGATGCAATGGATTGCAAAACTGTTAACGAATAAAAAGTAATATTGTTTTTCATTTATTTTACTTTATATTTCATTCATTATAAAGTGAACCTGTAAATAAACTACTTATGTTATACCTGTAAATATACAGGGTGTGTAAACCTTGAATTTATTACTTGTATTACCTGTAAATATACTGCTTGTGTTAACCTGTGAATTTATTATTTGTATTACCTGTAAATGTACTGCTTGTGTTAACCTGTGAATTTATTACTTGTATTACCTGTAAATGTACTGTTTGTGTAACCTGTGAGTTTATTACTTGTATTACCTGTAAATGTACTGCATTTGTTAACCTGTGAATTTATTACTTGTATTACCTGTAAATGTACTGCTTGTGTAACCTGAGAATTTATTACTTGTATCATCTGTAAATGTACTGCTTGTGTTAACCTGTGAATTTATTACTTGTATTACCTGTAAATGTACTGCATGTGTTCACCTGTGAATTTATTACTTGTATTACCTGTAAATATACTGCTTGTGTAACCTGTGAGTTTATTACTTGTATTACCTGTAAATGTACTGCTTGTGTTAACCTGTGAATTTATTACTTGTATTACCTGTAAATGTACTGCTTGTGTTAACCTGTGAATTTATTACTTGTATTACCTGTAAATGTACTGTTTGTGTAACCTGTGAGTTTATTACTTGTATTACCTGTAAATGTACTGCATTTGTTAACCTGTGAATTTATTACTTGTAATACCTGTAAATGTACTGTTTGTATTACCTGTGAATGTATTACTTGTAATACCTGTAAATGTACTGCTTGTGAATATTCGAACTACTTTCGATGTTTTGGGGAGAGGTTTAGTAACATCACCAAATAAAACGAAATGAGCAGATTGGCTGACGTCCTTTTCTGAGTCGTCAAATTGAGATTTCGAAGCCGACTTCTTTATCTCCAGATACTGTTTTATCTGAGCGTACAGAGTGTCGAATTCCGGCAGTTTTGTTGAACCCGATTTTACTCGTCCATTATTCTCTAATGAGGTACAACCTTTTGTGGCTTTCTGTTTTGTAGGGAATTTCGATGTTTTGTTGGCCTCGAAAGAAGATATCCTGGATTTTAATGGCGGCCTCGCCTTGGCGTCTAGTGAATGGGAAGGTTGTGAGGAGCATACTTTGTGGGGCACGGGTCTTGCCACAGTTGACTGACTGGTCGTCTTTGCTGTCTTTGAGCTGAAATAATCCAGTTCAAAAATTTTGAATGACATTGTCACAATTGCCAAATTTTTTTTTAAAAAAACTCAACTTCTGTGCACAAATCGCTGAATTTCTATAATACGAATTTTTAAAAATTCAATGCTGATATATTAAGATGTCATATTTATGTAAATATTAAGATGTCATAATTAGGATTTTAATTCGAAGAAATTTGAACAAAAGGATTTTTACAAATCTCTATGACCTAGGCAATTCGTAATATATTGTTTAAATTTTACACGAACTGGCCACCTTATCATTTAAACCGAGCATGTTTTTTTTTACCTGGTTACGTGTAAACACTGCAGAATGATACGATGTACTACATGCACGATAATTTGGTTTTGACATTCTCACTGATCATCTTGTATATATGGAGAAGAGTGAAAGTTATGATAAAGTAATTACGACCTTTACATTCTCGTGTATTTTCCTGTCATTCATATAAATAATTAATTAAGCATTACCTGCTTTGTCCTCCAGTATTTCGTACCTTCTTCATTGTATTATTATCAACTGTAATTCATAGCTATATTTAATCTTTAAAAAAAAGACCGAATGTCCATTTCAGGCATTTGTAAACACTTCGTAAACGGAAGACACGGGTCAAAACAGGTTGCCCAGTTAGTATCGAACGAATAAATACGCGTCAGTGATTCGTATTCTACCTGCATGGGTGGATCGTAGATTTTTGCAGTATGGAACAAGGTAATAGACAAACAATAAAGTGGACTGCACATGAAGCGAGGCATCAATTTCGTTTCTCTTCGCCTTCACCATTTAAAAAAAATCGCATTCTACATTGCAACTTTTTTTTTTTTGGTATTTACATCTACATTCTACTTATATATTTCCTACTGATCTAATATTCTTCAATGGCATCTTTTAAAAATCCTCTTCTAAAGTAACCACAGTGATAGAAGACATGAAACTTTTGTGGAAGCATCCCCAGGTAGTGTAGATCCAGGTTTGTTCAAATCAGGATCTGCAGGGGTAATGACTGACTCCTTTTCCTTACATAGGCCTAATATTATTATATCATAATAAGGTCTTCAGCTAGGATGTTTAAATTGTACATGAGAAATTACAACGTACACTTTACATCTCATTTTTATTTTTCAAAATTCGACCTACGAGAAAATCAGTTTCAGAAAGAAATCAATGAAGAAAAAAGTCAACACATGAAGTCAATCATTTTTATGGGATGTAGAGAGACAAAAATTTTGTTCCTGGTTAACTGTTTAATGTTTTTTTTCTTCATCCTTTAAGATGGTTAAAATATTTCAGAAAAAGAAAACCGATTCGAATACGTTAATTACATGAGAAATTTTTGCAAAATAAAATTAAGTTTAGACAAATTAATTTTCCAATAAAAGACGTTAGCAACAGGAGGGTTGATTTTTAAGTAATACAACTTCGATCGACCGTCTCCTTTTCCTTGGCATAGGATAATTAGTTTATAAATAACACCACAACGAAAGGAATACTTGCAAAGAAAGGTAGGGATGGAACTATCATATTGAACAATATTCCACATGCAATGATCCAGTATTCATTAACTGACTGTTAAGAGTACGTTCATTTTGCTTTTAGTTCATGTATATTTAAAAAAAAAATGAAATCTACACGCTTGAATTTGAAAATTAAATTTCCGTGATACAGTGAAAACTGTCTAATCCGACACCTGATTAATCCGACACACTGTAAATTCCGACGTTAAATTTCTTTCCTATTTTAGTATTTTCCTTGTTTTTAACACTGTCCAATCCGACACCCTGTCTATTCTGACACAAAATTCCTCTCCCAGAGCATGTCGGATTACACAGGTTTCACTGTATTTACTATGCCTTATCAACACCATTAACAGGCATTTTGACCGCAGGAAGGAAAATCAATATAGGTACATTGTCAGATATGACGATGTTCTCATTCTTGAAATAAAGAAAAGCTTTTATGGTTTAAAATGCAAAGAAAAAAAATTTCCATAGAATTGGCTGGTTTCAGCTATTACTACATACAAAGGCGTTCTTTATGCTTCCTATAAAATTGATTCTTCATTATCGACAAACTAATTCTTCATTTTGTGTATTGAGAACTTTCGGAAAATCAAATTTTATTTTGAAACTCATTGAATATGATGAACAGAAAAAGTCTACCTTTGATTAAATCATTGATGGGCTAAATAATAAGGGGAAAAATAGATGAATACACGAATATGAAAGTAGGTTTAGCGGAACTCTTAAGATATTTATTCTTGATAAGTGTTGATATAAAGACCATCGAAATGATAAGGTAAGTTCATAAAATTTACAACTTCTTTGTTTATCATTTAAAGTATCATTATTTTAACAATGCGGACTCTTGAGTTTAAAAAGCACTGCAGTTAAATGTTTACGTTACGCGGCATGTCAAAATAATGGGTAAAATTTCATTTATCTTTGTTCATATAACAATGCAAGGAATTATTTGAACACGTATCGATATCATTGTCACACGAAAATCTGTTTTATTTGAGGAGTATGTCGAGTGGAGCTTCCACATGGTATGTATATATAATGTTTATAAAATACATCGTACTGTTTTATGTTGTCAATTATCTATAGAAAAAAAAAACAACTTGTATAATGATAATGCCCCAGAACATGCAAGATCTTTTAATAGACTTATTCGTGTACATCTAAGTGCTCCGACTATAATATTTATTCAACATTTAAAAAAATAAAGGGGAAAAAATACTACATGAATATACATTGTAAAACCAAAGGCTTTTATAGTTTTATGCATGTACGTACACATGTATAATGCACACAGAATTTTACCGAATTATTCTTATTTATTGAATTCTCTCTTGAAACAGAATTAGCGTCCCCCTCGAGAGTTTCTCACTCATATTGAGTGAGGCTACACCGGTTGTAGGTGGAGGTTTCACATTTAAGACATATACTCTCACAAAGGGTCAGTGATCAATGAGAGGCATTTTCATGCAAGCATGCTGTGACACCAGTCAAAATTTCAAAACACTATAACTTTTGTAATAATTTCGAAAATGAAATATAATATTTTCACCATAGATTTAAATAAAAGTGATTAACAGAAGTGCAATTTTTTGAGGAAATATGTTCAACGATACTCAAGATATCAGAATTCTAAATTTGGACTTCAGTATGTTCTCTCAGTTTTTGGTATTGGATTAATACGACCGTTCTCCACGTCCCGCAGTGGGATTTGAACCTGCGACTTAAGGGTCGAATCTCTGCGCCACGCGGGTGACTATTGTCTTCAAATAAATCATAAAAGATGTTCTAATTTTTTAAAGATAAAACATCACGGCTATAGAGATGGGTTGTGGTGGTAGTAAAGAAACAAAGAGTGAGCAGCCCAGACCAAAGACTGCTGGAACACAAACAGCCCAAACTCCTTCAGAGAAGCCGGTAACTAACGGAGTCGTAGAACCAACAGGAAACGGAAGTACTGACGTCAGCGAGGAGGAAGAGACGGGGTCCGACTGTTTGTTCATTTCTACAGACCCGGGCAATGAGACAGTAAGAGTGTATTCGATTAAGACAACCCGTGTCGCACTAGTGTTAAATATGCGCATGCTCACTGATTGAACTCTAGTGATCTAAATAAAACATCTCGTGTTGTTTAGTGTTTGTATAAATATGGCGGGGAAAACAGTATATATTCCCTGTATATCGGGTTTGAACAGGACAAACGATTGATCAACAAACAATATCCAATTATCAAATAAAGAATAGCAGATAATTTATTAGAAGACCTCAAAGCTGAAATTAATTGTTTAACAAAATGTATCTTTTACAGATGGTTTGTACATATTTTATTGTATAAATACTATACAAATGGTTTGAACACAAGTTCTAACAACTTACTAGGTTCTCACCATACAACTGTCAATATATATACATAGGGAAAAAGGGAAAAAGAAATATTGATGTACAAACATGTTTGTTAAATTGAAACATACATTTGTTACATATGATAAATATATAACTATATAGAGTGTAAGTGTTAGGCAGTAATAATTAATTTATTCTACCAGAATCTCTTATAAATTTTTGAACTGACTGAAAAATATATTTATTGATTTCTACATTTTGCGACTCATCTCCCCACAGAAGTAAGTGGCAATCAATAATGTTCAATTTAATATTTGGTTTCGTAAGACACAGTAAATCTTTGAATAGTTTTTCTCTAGCATATTGGTACTGATTGCAGACAAAGAAAAAATGATATGGGTGTTCTGGTGTACCACTTGAACAGTTAGGAGTCTCGATAATGTTTCTTCTATAAAGATCATAATTTAAAATGCAATTGTGTCGTAGTTTAGTATGTATGATGTTAAGTCGTCTATTATTATGGGAGAAATAAGAAGGGGGGTCTGCTGGGTTTTTATGTATGTTGTTTTTAAAGCTGCTAAAAGATATGCTGTTTCTAGTGGTGATACTCAGACTATTCCATTGGTTTATTGTATCAGGAACAAAAGATTCCTTAAATATTTCAAGTCTACATCTAAGAATCTCTATTGCGTGTATCGTACTTTGATTCATTACGTCTTGTTGCGGGAACAATACTTTTTAAATAATCGGGTACTAAGTTGTGATGTACTTTATACATAGTATTTAGTTTTGCTACTTTTCGCCTATCTGCAAGAGGTTCCCATCCTGTTTCTAAATAAAATGCATCTCTTGAAGCGATAATTGGTAACTCCGTAATTATTCTTGCAGCATAAAGCTTTTTACAGATACAGCATGTATTTTATAGATTATTTATCCTTGCAATATTATTTAACAAGTCAATACCTCCTCTTATCAAAATAAAAAAAAAGTAGAATGAGAATGTCTTCACATACATACATGTCAATAGTTTTAAATATAATAGTGACGTTCCATCGTTTTTGAAGGGGGGGGGGGCAATCCAGAGAACAAAAACGAAACTTCAATTCCAATTTAGTTTCAGGAGGGGGATGTAGGTCCCACTTCCTTCAGTACCAAATTTTATTCATACAAGACGACTTCACCCTTGCTTGACTTTACTGTAACAAAAAAGGGGGAGGAAGCTATCGGTGGTCTTTCAATGAAGATTTGCTAAAAGTAAAGAAAAGTTTGGAAAAAATGTGGGAGGCGCTTCCACCAGATGCTACGTGCCTGCATTCTCTCTCCCTCCCCGGTAACATTTTGCACGGGGTATAATAATTGGTCAGAAAAGTACCATAGCTGACATTTTTCAATAACATAGTGTTAGTCATAGAATGAGAGAGACATATACTTTTACAAAAAATATGACGCCGGTTGGAAAGAAAACTTGAGCTAATGTGTTTTTCATGGTCTTACATGGCTGTGGATTTTAATTTTGAGCCTGTAAAAATAATGTTCAATATTTTAACTAAAATTATTTTTTGAAAAAATACTCATGAAATTGATCAATAATTATTACGATTGTAATTAAAGGCTGAAAAGGTAATTTCTACATACTTAGAACATTTATTGTAAACAAAGAACCGGTTCGATCTGGGGACCCGACCTCCATATTTATAAGATTACATTGTAATACATGCATGTAACTGAAATTGCTCTCACATTTGATCCTGTAATTATCTTAAAACTGAATTATTAATAATAATAATTTACTTCATAAGGTAATTAACACGACATGTCTATGCTGCGATTGTTAAATCTATAAATATAATTTTAGTGAATCAATATGCATCTATTAGACATTTTTATAATCAAGGGGCCCGTTTTACAAAAGAACTTACACCTAAGACCAAAATTTATTCTGCGATTTTATTCTTCTTGAAAAGAATTTAGAATGTTTCTATGGTGTCAATTTCTAAAACAGTTAATTAACTATTTCTTAATAATTTATAATCAACATATGTTTTTGGATATAATCGTAAGTTCTTTTGTAAAACGGGACCGAGAGATTCGGGCAATAATTATAGGCAGATTTACATTAAAAAGCTTGATAAACTTTTTTATTTTTAAAAATTAAAAACTGTCAATGATATCACAACAGTATTTATAAGAGGTTGAGCTAAAAAATAAAAAAAATAAAAAAGGGGGGTATGTCAAAATTATATTGCAGACTTTTTTCATTGACGTAATAAATTTCTAATACAAAAACTGACAAATTTATGCAGAAACAGTTTTCGCATTAACAATGCGACTTCACTTCCCGCCATTTCTTTTACCTGTTACTCCAGGTAAACTGAGGAGTATACTCGCGTAACACGGGTTGATCACCCATGTCGAAGATAGGTTGTTTTATTTACAACACTAGTGACTCGTGTAACCCGTGTCGCTTAATCGAATATACCCTAAGATGTGACTAAGAACCCTTAACACAATCAGTTTAATGACAGTGACTGTCGTAAATTTTATATTAGGCTAAAATCATAAATTAAAACATCTTCTGAAGAAAAAAAGATTGTATAATTATGTAAAATACTGCGTACAACAAACCATCTTATATATGCAAGGAGAGGGTTTCATAAAGTATGCTTGAAACAGATCCTTCTTAACAGAGAAAGATTATCAAAGTTTATGGGGACATGTATCTGAACAAACATCTCCAAGCCATTTATAAAAAAAGTTTAATAATAGAGGAACGTACTGGTTGACGGTTTGGTCTATTGAGAGTGTATTTAGCATATTTAAAGATCCACATACCATCATTGATATCTTAAACGATATACAAAGCCTGTAATCAAAGTTGTAAGAGAACAGTTATCTTGCAGTTTTGATTTATTTAACATACATGCAACTGTTGACAAGTAATCGGACTGTCTCTGTTGATACGTTTGTTCTGCTATCACGTACGCCATCATATTCTGTTCCATAAGTTTTTTTTTTTAAAAATAAAGCTAGCTTTTTTATTCTTTATCAAAAACTCAAGTTCAATATAATGTATAAATTATACTTCGCTGAATTTGCTTATTTAAAAAAACATAAAGAAGAAGTTTTTTATTACAACATGTACAACAAATTATTTTTTATTTAAAAATATCAGGTCAGGTTCTTAAGAAAATCATTATCACACAAATAAAATGGGAATAGCATTTTTTAAAGAAAGTGTGAACAAACGAGGAAGAAATTACACGTGAACTTACTTACAATTCAGTACTGAAGAGGCGATTCCCGAGGGAAAAGACTGCTATTGTTTTTAGAGGCAAATTTAGGGTCCCCGTTGGCTTCATTGCTTCATTGCAAATCCCTGCTCCGTGTCCTTCGAGCGAAGACCCTTCTAGACCCACCCACCCCCCAAATTTAACTGATTTTTAACGAAGAACCTACAAATACAAACATATTTTAGTATTACTATTCAAATCATGCAAAATTTCTCATCCCAGAGATTATTTCAAATCACTTATTTTGCTTATCACTGAGTTGTGATTGAAGTTCATTTTCTTGAATCATTCCCTGTATTTCATGATGTTTTACAAACCCTTTTTATCACGTTATTTCCCGATAATGACGAGGAGCACACGGCTGGTGTGACCACTCGGCAGGGGATGCTCACTCCTCCATGGCACCTGATCCCACCTCTGTTTTAGAGGTCTGTGTTTGCTCTGCTCCAAGATTTGTATTGTTAAACGGAATTTTGAAAACTGTATGTTACTCCATGTATAACATATTTCATCACCCCTTTATTTCACCGTGTGCCAAGACACCTCTCGGCTTTCTTCTTGTCTTCTCATTATACCCCCCGCTTGAAAAGTGGGGGGGTATATAGTAATCGTTAATTCCGTCCGTCCGTCTGTACGTCCGTCCGTCCGTCCGTCCGTCTGTTACGCTTTGGGGTACCCATCTCTTATCCGCAACTCCTCTAATACCACTGAATGAAATTTGATGAAACTTTCACAGAATCTTTATTACATATTGCCATTGTGCACCTCCTATTTTACTTTTTGATCCGACACATATTTTGAGTTTCCCGGCCACAGGAAAACATGGACTTTTTCACCAGTTATAACCATATGGGAGGCGGGGGGTATCATTTAGTGAGCTCATCGCTCATAGTACCTCTAGTTTTTGTTGTAATCAATGTTGCAAATGATTTGAGAAAAAAAAAGCCATAAAATTTAGTACATGTATTTCCCAGACAAGTTGATATTTCGGTGAAAATGATGAAGATATGGGGCAAAATTAGTCACAAATTGTTTTCAGTGTCTTTAATTTAACTGAATTGAAGCTTTTGTAAATTTATTATTAACTATTTATCACGACTCCTTCTATATGTAATATAAATTAATTTCAGCTTAAAATAGACGGTGAGCTGCCGGAATATAACCACATTAAACCCTCTGAGGAACCGCAAGAAAATAACATAAAGAGGGCTACAAATGTGAAATTCTTTGAGGACTGGTTCCCGGTATATTCAACGGAAACGGATGCTGATTCCAGACCGCGAACGGTAACACATATAGAACTCAACGTCCCCTCGTCCCGCAGGAAACTTACAATAGCCGACATAGACAAGAGAGCCCGAGAGGTACGTAATTCATAGTTACGACTTTTCCCCACACCATCACAGGTGGAACTTGCAAGGATGGTGCAGCACAACAAGTGCAGAATTTTGTATATATTACATGTATACGTATTTACAGTTAATAGAAAAAAAATTAAATACAAGCAATCATGTGCTCTTCCTGGACCTAGCTTATAAGGATGGTTAACCATGCACCTTGAACAAAATGTTGGAAGTGACATGCATTATTTCTCATGAAGGCTTAGATTTATACATAATTATTATGATAATTTTATATTTAGGCAGGAAATAAATCTTATATTAAGACTACAAGAATTTACGAAATGCATTTTTTGCCGGTAAAGTTTGCTATTTCACCATGAAAGCTAAAAATAAGTGTTTACACTTCAAAAGCTAATGCTATGCTATTTTAGGCATTTTTTTTTAAGATTAGCTGTACATGTATATTTGCACTTTGGCTTTTTCTTTCAATTAATTCACAGACCCCTAGAGACCAAATTTCTAGTTTTAAGAGCCTAAAGGACTACTTGTTACGGGATCTGGAAGGACAGACTGACAGGGAGCGACTAGCGGTACGGGCCATTATCGTCTGGCTCAGTGTGCAAGATGAGACCAAGTTCAGTTCCTTACCAGCTAATGAGGAATCGCCAGCGGGATTTCTATCTCTACTGGCTAAAAAACAAACTATGTTCTCCACATTCTTTACGGTTCTCTGTAGGTACGTGTTAAATAATTTTAAAGAAGAATTCTAGTCTTTTACTGTTGAAACATATAAAGATATCTAAAGGATGTTCTTTTCACTTTAGAAAATTTGGTTTGACTTGCGTCAAAATCAAAGGAGTATCCAAAGCGGGGGATTATCAGCCGGGTGATGTCATTAAGAAGGAAACCAGTGCAGATAACTGGGCAGCCGTTTATTTAGAGAACACCTGGAATATTGTGCACCCATTCTGGGTCTGCAGAGGGCTTTTTGGTCATAAACCTGGCGGATGGATCAAACTAGAAGCGGGCGGGAGAGCTGTCGGCAAATCAGAGGGAGCTTCGGCAGGTGTGTTGAGACGTGCATTTCAAGAATATTATATTTTCCCAAATCCAATGGAGTTTATTCACACTTGTCATCCAGACGATTCAAAATGGCAAATTTCAAATAAGAAAATTAGTCGAAATGTTTTTGAAAAGATGCCTTATTTGTTGCCTACCTTTTTTGGAATGGGATTGAAGTTATTATCGACCGAGAGCTGTTTGTTAAATACAGTTGATGGTGCATGCCTCATAGAAATTCAGGCTCCTCTTAAAAATGCGAATGAAATTGATCTTTGGTATGAACTGTACCTTAAAGAAGGAACTGGGGAGACCGAGAAAGAGAAACGCATGTTACAACGAGAAAATATTCCTAAATTAGTGGCGATGATTAGATGTGGCGACTTGTGGCAATTCAAGTTATCACTGCCGATAAAGGGAACATTCAAAATTTGCTGCTATGGAGGTCCTTATAAATCGACATTAGCGAGAATAGCTGAATTTAGAATTGACTGCAAACAACACAATAAGGACTGTAATATTTTGCCCTTTGATCCTGGTCGTATTGGATTTGGCCCCGGGCCAGCTGCCGCAGAAGCTGGATTTTTTCTCCCATCCCACGCTGGGGGACTGGTATCTGTTAAAGTCAACACAAAAATAGAAATAACATTCATTGTGGAAAGAATAGTGATTGAACGTACCACAATTCAAGCAACATTAAACAGTTCGAAATTTGATCAGACGGTGCTTGAAAATCTTGTTAGTGTTCGAACTAGTGAAGAATCGAACACCGTTTATTTTGAAGCCCAAGTGCCGGAAGATGGTGAATACGCTTTATCAATCAAAAAAGTCGAACAAGAACAAACACAAGCTATGACGTCACCCCAAGAGAAGAAAGTGACACAGCCCCAGTTTAAAGAGAAGACAACCACCGTCTGTAACTACTTGTTATCAACATTGATCAAAACAAAAGAGGTGAATCTTTTGTATTTTCTACAAGGAACATTGGGGATACGCTTATGTTAATCATTATTTTGAATTTAAGCTTTCTCGTGTTATTATCTTATTAATAGCAATGAATAATTATTTAAAAAGTGTATATATATATATTTCACAAATCGATGTATAAAATTTGATTTTGTGTTAAAAAAAGCCAAAGAGCACATGTAAACATTTAATATATCTCATTATTATTTCTAGAAAGCCAATCAGAGAAATGCCAGAACTGAACTACAGACCACATTGGCTACTGTTCTGCCGTCTGGAGAGGGGTTAAAACATGGCATTGAAAATATAGAGAACGGAATCAAACGCTGTATGAAACAGGACATCCCGTCTACAGATGATCAGATAGTGGCGGCAAAATCTAAACTGGAGCTGTTTAAATTAAAGAATGGTAAAAAATTATAGTAAACTATGATTTGAATAATTATCCACAAACATGATATCTCTATTAACGAATATATCCAATGCAAACCTGTAGAAACAAAATGGTTTCTCCCTGTACTGCAGTAATCGTGACAATGTTCTGACCGAAGAAAGAAATGAAATTCAGCTTAAAGCACATCATCAATGGCAAAATTTAAGACAAATTGTTAAAAAAATAAGAAGGTCGACTCTACAGCAGTGTTTGTTTGCCCGCTCCCCTCTTCGGATAAAAATATTGAAATAAATAAATGAAATAGACTGAAAACTCGGTCTGAAATAAATAGACACGCTTGATTTAAACCAAAAAAAGACAAACTAGAGTAAAAATTATTTGACAAATAGGACCTAAAATGGATAAATTGGACTCATAAATTAATAAATAGATGATAAATCTGTGTATATAATTATTGAGTTTACAGCTGGAATACGTACAATACAATTCTGAACCTTATAATTCATATGTAAACAAACAGGTTTCACGCAAATCAATTTTAAGGGATTCTTATATTTTTTTTATTTCTTTGCGATAAGTTCTAGATCATTTCAATAATTAATGTAATACTTAATAAGGAAGGGAATTCAAGGTACTTATTCCACAAATTAAAACAAATACACAATGTTTCAATATGTCTCGGGGTTTGTTCGGTTAATATCGCATGTACATGCATCTTATGATGATACAACTTTTAATGAAATACCCAAAGCTGTTCGAGAAATTGGCAATTTTCTTTGGACCATCAATTTTCATTTTCCTTGGAGTGAAACTTTAAAGATAAGAATATGTACTTTATTGTTACATGTATTAAATACTAGTACTTCTATTTGATCCTATAACCTGACAATTTATTTAATTCAGAGGTGCGAAATGCGCATTTGCGTCGTAACATTCACGTGACGAGGAAGGCCATTGATCATATAAAGTCCTCTCCATACAGTCGGATCTGTGAAAAGGAAATTCACGACCTCGAGACGTTCGAAAAGGAGCTGGAAAAATTAAATAAATTTCCCCAGGAACCCCCGACATTACACTGGGCTGTTGGGGAACTGGCGAACTCTCCCGTAGTGACTGAAGAGGTCGTTAACACAGTGAGGGCATTTCTCATGCTTCTGGGGGAACCAGCTGAAACTTTAAAGGTAAATATAGAAATAACCTTTCTTTTCTGCTTCAATTCCAATACTCGGGACAATGAAGTTTATTACAGCAAATGTACATCAATCTCATGCAAGGTAACCAGGTTCAATAATTTACCCCCCCACCCATGCAATCATGGTGTCAATGCTTTATTGTACTGTCAAGAAAGTTTTTGGATTTAAGCATAAATATACAGCTCAACAAACTTTTTAAGCTCACATGGTTTTTCGCACAAATTAAGGTCACATTTTTGTAATGAAAAGTACTATTTTAGAACCTCGGAACGATGACATAGCCCTACGTTATATTACATATACAATGTCAAGCATAAATGTCCTTTAAAATTATTATCTTAAGTTTCCAAAGTGGATGTTTTAGAGGGGAATTAATTAATAAATGGTACGATGTTTCTACTATAGGCATCTACCATAGGTTTTTTTTTTTTTACAAATAATATAAAACGTTCTTTCTTTGATACAATGTAGTTGAAAATTTTAAATTTTCTTCTTAAAGGTGAGTATCTTTTAAAATTGTTTGCTCATTTACCATACTCATCTGGGTTTTGTCGAAATGTAGCACCAAAAAGGGATAACAATGTAGAGAGAAACCATAATACAGGGTAGTATAATGAAGTATTGTTTATTTTTTTAAATAGTAAATTTTTTCTATGATAAGGAAAATTCTTCTGCATTTACGGTTTGAAACGTTAAAATTTTGCTATGGGATGAATCTTTCATGATTCTAGTTTATTAGAAGGTGACGATGAAAAATGCCACCTTATTAACATACAAAGCAGTCAAACAGATGAAAAATACTATCATCACCCTGCGCTAAAGAGTCAGAATGTACAGAAAATACAAGTTACAGTAGCTGTACTGTGCCCGTGTCTATGTTTCTGCAAAGAACCACTGCTTTCAAAAGAACGGATAAAAAGACAGCTGCAATTGGCAAGAAACTAAAAAATATCAAATGGAAATAATTGTTATTTTTCAGCCAAGAATATATTCAAGTTCTAGCAATTGATTTGTATGAATTATGTTTTAGTAAATGAAATAAAACTCAAATAATGTAAACAAATACTTTTAAAATGTATTTTGATGCCTCAACACAAAATATAACATTATAACAATGTGACCTTAATTTGTGCGAAAAACCATGTGAGCTTAAAAAGTTTGTTGAGCTGTTCAGTGTATATCATCAACAATCACGTGAATGAGTTTTTGATTTGAACATATCTTAGTGCACAATTCATACAAAAGGATTGGTTAAAAGTTCTAGCAACGTAGAAAAACCTTTCCCTGTAATATATACAATAATTATATTTATACTAATTGAAAAACGAATTATCTATAATTGTAGTGAAAATGTAAAGTTATACATGATAAATATATACAAAATATTTCAAAGACAGTTATTAAAGATTAAGAGTAAATACAATGTGTAAATTGTTTACGCTAGGTGCATTTGTCAACATAGATCGTGACGTAATGCAAAACGATTCACTTCACTAGAATTGATAATAAAGATCTTATTTGTATTGTATGTATCTTGTGTTTTAGACCTGGAACAAAATTCTTGATGTTCTACGTCCGCCAGCGGAGAATCTGCAACTCGTGAGTCTCACGGCACGTATCAAAGAAAAAGAGAGTTCCAAAGAGCCACTAGACACTGCCAGAAAACGTGAAGTTCAGGAGTGTTTGAGAAAATATACCGTTGATCAAGTCAGAAATATTAACGTTGGAGCTGCGGTTATATATGATTGGGTAAGAATGTGTAGAGTTTGAATAGAAGTCATTCCTACAAGTTCAAACATAGGAGTATACGATTTATGAAAAAGTAATTCTAGAACATGTATAAGTCTTAAGTTAATAAGAATTTAAAATTGAATGGTGCTAATATGGAAGAAATCATCATTGTTGTTGTATACGTCCAATATTCAAAAATACAGACAAAAGTAATTATTTAGCCCACATGATAAGCCAAACGCTCAAATGAACGTTTCTGATCAGAAGGTACCTTATATTCGTTTACTGGTCATGCCTTCTGAAAAGTTTTCAACTTTTTCTTTAGAACCACTGGGCTAGTTTCAATCTAAATACTGGAAGTCCACAAAACATCCTTGCAAGAAAGAAGTTTTTTCAATTGTGAAGCTTTAGCTTCTTTTAGGATGACAATTAAAAATAATAAGATTTTTTTTTCGAAAGAAAAACTGGTCAGAAATGATAAGGTTTAAGTTGAAGCATCCTCAGTTAGATCAGTTCACTTGTCTTCAAGTCATGGTCCTGATAAATAGGGTAAGCAATAACAACCGAAAAATACGTGTTTTACACTGGTATAGGAAAAAATTCTTCCAATTACAAAGATGAAATATTCCTTTAGATTTTTTCGTTCACTCTCTCTAGTTTGTCTCATAATGTGACCTAATCTTAGCTCAAGAATCATAACGAAATCATACTTGAATCTACACTGTTTGGGGACTCAGACATAGGGGCCAATAACATGCTAAATTTAATATTACGTAATGATTATATATATACAAATTTGTATATACAGGTCAAAACACATTTTAAACTCACATAGTTTTTCGCACAAATGAACGTCACATTGTTATAACGCGAAATTGAGTTGCTCTTGGATGATAAATTATGACAGCTCCCAAATGGTTTTTCATGGTTTCTTATCAAATGCAGTCATCTTTGTATCCGTTCTATTTGAAGCAGTCCTTTGCCTTGCCAAGACACAAAAACAGTGCAGCTCAGTTAACTTCTGTACTTTCTGTGCATTAATATGCCTCTAAAGCGCAAGATGATAACAGTATTTCTCAGCTGTTCGACTGCTTTCCATGTTCAAAGCTGGCATTTTTTCTTGGTTACTTTCTGAAATTTTGCATCATGAAAGATACGTCCAACCGCAAAGTTTTCAAAGTTGCAGACCTTAAATGTTAAATAATTTTCTTTTCAATAGCAACAATTTGCTATTTTTAAAGATAAAAAATACAGTACTTTATTATCCTATCTTTTGGCATGTTTTCTTTATACAACATTGTCATTTTTCGGCGATCCATTTCGACAAAACCAAAACGAGTACGGAAGATGTGCAAAGTACTTAGAAAAATACTCATCTAAAAAACAGAGTTTGTAAATTTCTACAAAATAGTATCAAAAAAGCTCGATTGATGTAATTTGTATATACCTACTGGAGAATCATATAGATATAACACCATACCATTTATTAAGTTCCCTTTAAAACATCGACGTTGAAAACTTACGATAATGATTCTTAAGAAAATAAGCTTTGACATTAGATATTTTATATAACTAGGGTCATGTCTCGTGCTGAAGTTCGATTATGTGTACATGTAGTTTTTTGCAAGAATAATGGGACCTTAAATTGTGCGAAAAACCATGTGAGTTTAAAAAGCGCATTGAGCTGTACATGTATAGTCATTACGTAAAATCAAATATTAGCAAGTCACTGGTCCCTGTGGATTGAGTATATCAAAATACATAACTTGACCTTGCTATTCTGATTTTTAAAAACATATTTTATTGATTGAAAGTTAAAAGAAAGCTAAAATCGGGAAGCAAATTTTATACAATGCATACCTACAAATTTTTATAAAAATTCTCTCCTAAAAAGATGGACATTTAAGTCAGTTTTATACTAAATCAAAACATTCAAATTCGATTAAGTTATTACCCCATTAATTTTACCGCAATAATCTAGCCGCTATATTGGATATCGAGTCATTTTCTTCTTGGGAATCTAGAGGGAAAAAACTTTGATAACAGCAAGGCTAATTTGTCTCATTTCCTGTGTGCTGAAATAAATTTGTAACAAAATTTAAGAAAAATTGAACAAGAACATCTTGCATTACTTATATTCATTATATAACTGCATATTGATAATGACTACTTTTTGCTAGGTTGTAATAAACTCGGATAGCACAAAAGGTATCACACGTACAATGTAATGCATGTAGAGTAGATTCTTGTTTGTTGCTTTTTTTGCTTTAATTTTTCATAAATGTAGATCCATATAACAACTTAAATATATATCTGATGGTATCATTATCAACAGAATAAATTCATTTTTGTTACTTGTTTTTACTTAAAACTTACCAATCAATGTCACGAAAATACAAAAAAAAAAAATAGATAAAAAAAGAAGAATAAACTACTAGTAATTGAACATATAATGAAGGGAGAGAGTAATACAGTAAACCCTTTTCCATATCACATCCTGTATCAGCCTGAGACACCAATTTCAGCTAGAGTGCCGAATTAAATATAGTTTATATAGTAATGGCTTTTATCATATGCTGATCAAAATGTTTCTCCTTTTCTTAATAAAATATGTAATTATAATTGTTTTATAAATTTAAAATGCTGCTCTCCCTCATGCAAGTCTTATATTATTAATAATTTATGAAATAATATATGAATAATTTCATTTTCCTGTCATATTGTAATTTTTGAATATACTGGGTGGTAGTAAGTCCTATCGTAATTTTTGTATTTACTACCACCCGGTAAATTAAAAAATAACAATATGGCATTCGGATTCCTTGTGTTGCCTCGCTTACCTGTATATCGGCTACTGCAAACATTTTTCTACATAATATCTTTGGTTTTGATAGGTTAGAAAACATTCAAGCCCTAAGGCATATTTTGCTTAGATAACTACGAATTGAAATTTACTTCATTTATATTCATGTATATATGCAATATACATTTTTGTTTTGTTTTTAGCTCACCTGAGCCGAAGGCTCAATGTTAATCACATTTTGTTAAAAGGTCTGTCCGATGCATCCGTCCGTCCGTCCGTCTGTAAACTTTTCACATTTTCGACTTCTTCTCAAGAACCAATGGGCCAATTTTAACCAAACTTGGTACAAAGCATCCTTGGGTGAAGGGGAGTTTAAATTGTTAAAATGAAGGGCCAAGTCCCCTTACAAGGGGAGATAATCAAGAAAAGACAAAAATAGGGTGGGGTCACTAAAAAATCTTCTTCTCAAGAACCACTGAGCCAGGAAAGCTGAAACTTATGTGGAAGCATCCTTGGGTAGTGTAGATACTAAATTGTTAAAATCATGACCCCCGGGGATAGGGCGGGGCCACAATAGGGAATCCAAGTTTTACATAGAAATATATAGAACAAATCTTTAAAAATCTTCTTCTCAAGAACCACTGAGCCAGGAAAGCTGAAACTTATTTGGAAGCATCCTTGGGTAGTGTAGATATTAAATTGTTAAAATCATGACCCCCGGGGGTAGGGCGGGGCCACAATAGGGAATCCAAGTTTTACATAGAAATATATAGAACAAATCTTTAAAAAATCTTCTTCTCAAGAACCACTGGGCCAGAAAAGCTAAAACTTATGTGTTAGCATTCTTGGGTAGTGTAGATATTAAATTGTTAAAATCAAGAACCCCGGGGCAGGGCGGGGCCACAATAGGGAAATCCAAGTTTTACATTAGAAATATATAGAACAAATCTTTAAAATTCTTCTTCTCAAGAACCACTGAGCCAGGAAAGCTGAAACTTATGTGGGAGCATCCTTGGGTAGTGTAGATATTAAATTGTTAAAATCATGACCCTCGGGGGTAGGGCGGGGCCACAATAGGAAATCCAAGTTTTACATAGAAATATATAGAACAAATCTTTAAAAATCTTCTTCTCAAGAACCACTGGGCCAGAAAAGCTAAAACTTATGTGTTAGCATTCTTGGGTAGTGTAGATATTAAATTGTTAAAATAGTGACCCCCGGGGGTAGGGTGGGGCCACAATAGGGAATCCAAGTTTTACATAGAAATATATAGAACAAATCTTTAAAAATCTTCTTCTCAAGAACCACTGGGCCAGGAAAGCTGAAACTTATGTGGAAGCATCCTTGGGTAGTGTAGATATTAAATTGTTAAAATCATGACCCCTGGGGGTGGGGCGGGGCCACAATAGGGAATCCAAGTTTTACATAGAAATATATAGAACAAATCTTTAAAAATTTTCTTCTCAAGAACCACTGAGCCAGGAAAGCTGAAACTTATGTGGGAGCATCCTTGGGTAGTGTAGATATTAAATTGTTAAAATATTGACCCCCGGGGGTAGGGTGGGGCCACAATAGGGAATCCAAGTTTTACATAGAAATATATAGAACAAATCTTTAAAAATCTTCTTCCCAAGAACCACTGGGCCAGGAAAGCTGAAACTTATGTGGAAGCATCCTTGGGTAGTGTAGATATTAAATTGTTAAAATCATGACCCCTGGGGGTGGGGCGGGGCCACAATAGGGAATCCAAGTTTTACATAGAAATATATAGAACAAATCTTTAAAAAATCTTCTTCTCAAGAACCACTGAGCCAGGAAAGCTGAAACTAATGTGGAAGCATCCTTGGGTAGTGTAGATTCTAAAGTTTTAAAATAAAAAAGGGAAGGGCGTTGTTGGGCATGATAGGTATAGCAAGAGGGGGAATCTGGTAAAGATCTGCCTCACCTAAGTTACTCAGGTGAGCGATGTGGCCCATGGGCCTCTTGTTTTCTCAAAATGTTAACAATTTAAAAGGATGGATGCATTTGAGGAAATGCTAAATTTTGGTGAGAATAATTTGGCATCTTGGGGGCTGCTCTCTCTAATTCAACATCCCCCGAAATAACCTGGAGGAGCTCAGGTTTGTTGTCTAATTACCGGGGGGGGGGGGGGGGGTACAAGAATGGAAAAATCCCAAGTGCAGTTTTATATAATTACATGAAGTAAAAAGTGTACTCTTGCTCTTGCCATGGTTAAAAAGATTGGCATCAGTCAAATTGCCGTTTATTTTTAGCTCTTCTGTGTCAAATGCTCAAAGAGATAGTTTATTTGCTATGACCATTTGTGCGGTGTGCGTTATCTTTTTTGGAATATGGGCCATAACTCAAAACCCCTTGACCAATCGTCATATTTGTCACATGGTATCCTTGGTTCAAGGGCTACCATTTATATTAAAATTAGGATTCATATTTCAGGTAATAAGGAGCTTAGAATCATCACACTTTGTCAGTTGATCCGGTTTTAACCAAAATGTAGGTCATGATGACCTACTTTTGGAATTTCAAAGCTTTACTAAAATATTCAGGATACTTACAGGCTTCAGATAGATTGTACAATTTATCAGACGAGCGATTCAAATCCCTTGCGTCTCGTTTTTATACCCCCCGCTTGATAAGCGGGAGGGTATATAGTAATCGTTAATTCCGTCCGTCTGTACGTCCTTCTTTTACGCTTTGGGGTACCCATCTCTTATCCGCAACTCCTCTCATACCACTGAATGAAATTTGATGAAACTTTCACAGAATCTGAAATACCCCCGCCTCCCATATGGTTATAATGGCAAAGTCCACGTTTTGCTGTGCCCGGGAAACCCAAAATATGTGTCGGATCAAAAAGTAAAATAGGAGGTGCACAATGGCAATATGTAATAAAGATTCTGTGAAAGTTTCAATAAATATCACCCAGTGGTATAAGAGAAGTTGCGGATAAGAGATGGGTACTCCAAAGCGTAACAGACGGACGGACGTACAGATGGACGGACGGACATACCGATTACAGTGTACCCTCCCACTTTTCAAGCGGGGGATATAATGATATTCTAAATTGCATGTAATTCAATACCCTCAGCAAGCCCATATCATGACTTCGTCTTCTGTTTTCTCCGTTTGAATTCACCAGCAAATTTTTACAGATTTTTACACTTGTTATCGTTTTTTAACAGGAAAATATTAATATTTATTAATTTATTTTTTTGCAGACGAGTGATTTTATCTTTAAATGACGACCAACAGCAGACGTTACGGGCCTTTTGACAAATAAACAGTCAAAAACATCAAACCGGCCGCATTTTAAAGAATTGTCACAATAAAGGAAATACATAGGAAATTCTCAGTGTGATAAAACAAAATAAATTCGTGGTTATAAGATAAGACAGTGTCAACAAGAATTATTGACTCAAATACAAGTCCCACAAGTATGCTTAATTTAGAATGTCTGAATGCTGACAAAAAAGGACGTGTTGATATTGAGGATCTTTGTCATGTCATGTGATAATGCCAATCATTTATGAAAATATATGTGAAGTGCAAAAATCGTTATTTTTTTCATTTGTACTTATGTTTTTTTTAAAATGCAAGTGTACCTTAGCTGTGGGAATCTCTTCATTGGTCAAAACGGTCATGCATAAATGCAATGAATAATAATACCCTATCCAAACCACATCCTGCATCAGTCCAAGACACCAATAGCAGCCGGAGAGCCCATGGTCCAAGGGTATGTTTTATTATGTTTATTAACACTTTACAACTTACTGTACTGTTATGCAACATACACTGAATGTTCACGTCATGGAAATAGAAATTTACCATTTCCCCACAAGCACCTTTTAGCGTGGTACACGTTTTTCTAAAGTTTAGTGTAAATAATATTATGACGCTATATTTCAATACAAAAATAACTTTTCTTATTTGATGAGATTTTTGCAAGTATAAAATAGAAGGAAATAGTCATGAAAGTAACGATAAAATGAACATTTTAAATTGCGTGAAAATGCGTGATTGCGGGGAAACGGTATATGCGTGATTTTGCGTTAGAAATAGGAAATGGTATATGCGTTAAAATGCGTGACTGCGGGGAAGGGGGTTAAATACTAAGTAATGAAATACAGTACACGTCAATTTGAGAAAAAATAAATTATCATGCACGGAATTTTCCAATGTACATACCTCATATGATTTCGGTCACACGGTTTCGTATGTTTCTACGAGGGTTGTTCGATATGTTTTGTGTATTGTACCACAGCGCGATAACGCCTTGCACGATTTCGTCGATATTTATACGCCTGGGTAACTCTATTCAATACCTTGCCAACAGTATAAAAACGAGCCTTCATCTACACATGGTTATAAAATAATCGTCATTTCAATACAGCCAGTCGTTGACCACTGTTGTAAAAATGGTTGGGAAAAGGGTTGAGAATATTGAAGAAATTAGAGCTTATATAAAAGTTCGCACAAAACTCGGTAATTCGGTAAAGCAGATTTTTACTGAATTGGGGGAAGTTTATGGGTCTGATAAGGTATCTTATGAGACAGTTCGTAGGTGGAGACAGAAATGTCTGACTGGCACAGAGTCCGTCAAAGATGCAGCAAAATCGGGTCGACCTATGACTGTATCAGGCAAGACAAATGTCTCAAAAGTCAAGGAAATAATTGAAAGTGATGGCAGGTACACGATTCGTGATATTGCCAAAGCTGTTGGCATATCGCTATCGCGGGTGCATTTCATTTTGAAGCGTATTTTGAAAGTAGACAATTTGCAAACATAGTTACTGGTGACGAAACAAGGGTTCACTATTTCGAACCAGTAAGAAAAATTGGAAACGAATTATGGCTAACCAAACGCGGTAGAAGGCCTGTAGTTGCCAAAAGGACAATGAGCACAAAGAAGGTCCTTTATTGCATATTCTTCTCTTGTGATGGTTTAGCCGTACAAATTCCGGTGCCGAAGGGCAAAAGTGTTACAGGTCGGTATTACCGAGATGTTGTACTGAAAAAGCTCAAGAAATGTTATCAGAAACGACGTCCTGTGTCGGGATTTAGGCATGTTCGCCTTCTTCATAATAATGCTCCATCACATACATTTGAGCTTGTGAAGCAAATTTTGAAGTCTGAGAAGGTTACCGTCTTGCCACAACCACCATACTCTCCGGATCTAGCGCCATGTGACTTTTTCCTTTTTCCAAAACTTAAAAAGTTCTTATCTAGTCGTCGATACAAGTCCCGACAGGCCCTTGGCTCAGCCGTCAGTCAGTGCCTCAGAGGCATACCTAAATCAGCGTACCGTGACGCATTTCAGAAATGGATTCAGAGATTAAAATTGTTTATTTCAAATCACGGAGAATACTTTGAAGGGATGTAATGTCCATTTGAATATTTGAATCGAATGCTTTTGAGATATCGCACAATACACAATACATATCGAACAACCCTCGTACTTCTATTTCCGATGTGTCCGATGCGTAGTTTGAAAAAAAAGTCAATTAGATGATTCTTAAAACCAAAAAGTTAAAACTGAATGATGCAAACATATGTGTATTATTCAGTGGCGTAGCATCGTTTTTGAAAGTGGGGGGGGGGGGGGGGGGCAGCCAGAGAAAAAAAATTTACTTACCTGAAAATTGAATGGTGCTATACGCTGATGGAAATTAATAAGGGAAAACATTTATTTAATTGTGAAATTCGCTATATTGTCATTGGAGTTTGATCAAGTTTATTTCTTTAAATATATGCATCCTAAGTAAAATTTGAGTATCTGGTGTGTCCTCCCTGCTTTTTGATCACTTCCCCCCATCGTCATGGAACTCTCTGAATCAACTTCCGTACATCAGCTTGAGGAATATGCGCGCCACTCTTCTTGAAGAGCTGGGAACATGGCATCAACTGTCTGGGATGGGGCATCACAACCCCTCACCCAACGTCCAAGAACACCCCAGAGGTGTTTAATAGGGTTAAGGTTTGGACTTTTGGATCGCCATCGCAACACTCTGATGTTGTTCTGCGTCAGAAAATCCCTGCTGACGTGAGACGTGTGGAGTCGAGCATTGTCATGTTGAAACTCAAAATGTACGCCCACTTGACGGCGGAAAAGGAAGAACAACAGGCCGCAACACTTCATCTCGGTAACGGACACCAGTCATCCTTCCATCCAGTCAAACATTGTCAGTTCTGTGGTTGTAGGTTATGCCACCTCACCCCATCACCGAGCCGTCACCATAGGAATCATGTTGTTTGATGGTACATTGAAGATTACGTTCACGAAGTGTCGCCAAACGCGTATTCGACCGTCTGCAAAGTCCAAATTAAACCTAGATTCATCACTGAACATGGTACAGCGCCAATGTCGAAGTTGCCTTGCTTGATGTTGTGTAGCCCATGCTCTTCTGAGACGCCTGTGTTCAGCAGTCATGTTCACTCCCACAACAAAGTGACGTGAGTTTAGGCCTGCTGCTTTAAGTCTGTTTCTAACGGTAAGGTCACAAATTCTTATTCCTCTTGCTACTCTGAAATCAGATTTTTTTTATGCTGGTTTGAATCTGTTACGTAGGGAAAGCAGCACCAGCTCACAGTCATTACGTGCTGTTGTTTTACGTTTGGAACCACGAACCGGTCTAATTTTATGCTCCCTTGTTGGCGATACCGATTTAACAGACGTGAAATTACATTTTTTGATTTGTTTAATTGACTTGCAGTCTGACATATATTTTTAATCTCCTTTAATGCATCTAATAGCCTGCCATTTTTGATTTTAGAAAGAGTATGCTCTTGGCATGATTCTCAAAGTACAGGTATACTGACAATTATCGTCTATTGTAATGTAAAATGGGCGTAATCATTCATGAAAATCTTGCAAATCAATTTACAATTGCAAAGTTTCTTTTTGAGTTAAATGAGCTTTAACATTTTCAGTTTACAACAGCTACATAGAGTCTCAAACATATGAAACATGCTAAACATTAGGTAATAGTAGTTCTGAGTTCCCTTATTAATTTCCATCAGTATATTAAAATAGATATCGAGATATGAATTTTTTCGGTCACTTCAGCAAAAGACTCAAATCGACAGTTCTAATCAAAGGGTGCCAGGTATTCGTTTATTTGTCAAGTGCTGTCTGAAAAATTTTCACAATTTTAATTTCTTCTCCAGAACCACTGGGTTAGTTTGATTTAAATACAGTAGCCGGCAAACATCCTTTCATGAAGGGATTTTTTTCAATGGTGAAACTTTCATCTTCTTGGGATAATTATTGCCTGACGTCAAGGCCTCAGGCTGTATAAGGATTGATATTTTCATAATCCGAAACTAATAGATCATACCTAGAGAGCTAGATTTTATGCAAGATGATTTTTATTGGAATTCTTTACCTGCATTTTAAAAGAAACAGTTTTCTGGAAAAAAAAAATGATATGACTGATGCAAAATACTGGAGTGTGTACTTCCTTTACTCTTTTGCATGGAACAGATTATTCCATATGATTCACCGTTTCAACATGTCCGTGTATCCTTTTTTCTGCATTTCTATACTACTGGGTTAGTCCATTTATACTCTACGAAAGGGGTGAATCGCTCTTTTCGCGCCAAATGTCACTGCTTTCTTCGCACCTTTTCCTTGGATTGTTTTATTTTATGAATGGGTGTTTTAACTTTTATGGAATTTAAGTATATCATTTTTAACCTCCTTCTAATGCTTCAGAAATTCTATCTACATGTTAATGTTTTATCTCATTCATTTAAACAACATATCGTATAATATATCGGTATACGGACATGCAATACTAAAGAAATGAGTTTTCTAATTTGTTTCCCGATCCCCCGGTTGGTCTATTCCATAAATGGACTAGTCCACTAATAATAATAAACAACGCCATTTCAACAAAGTCTTGGTCTCCAGATGCATGATCTATTATATGTCTCTGTTCAGATGCACACAATAAATAAGGAAGAAGTGCAAAATCTTGAGTTTTTCTTTCCACACAGGTCTAAGTAGTGAATTTACTTATTTCATTCTCATTATATAATAGTGGGACTACCCCCGCCCTCCTTTTAAGAAAAAAAAATAATAAACACACATTACTACTGTTTACTTCCGTGGAGAAAATACACTCCAACAAAATGTGTATTTAATTATATCCATCTTTTAGAATGTTGACAGTGCATGATTTGGTGACAGATTTTATAATAGGTGTTACAAAAAAGTTCGAAATCAATTTAGATCCAAGGATAGATCACTCCACTTGCAGAAAACCCCAACAGAATACCAACTCTTTATTATGCAGTGTAGAGATGATGATTCTTAAAGTTAAATAAAATCAAGATTTCACACAAGGTTCTCAAAAACAAAAGTATTGCACAAAAGGTTTATCACTCTTCATGCAGATATTGATTGATTTAGTCAGGCAAGCTTTTTAAAAAGCTGTTACTTGTGAATAATAAGAAAT